GCTGTCGGAAAACGTGCGGCAGCTGGCGGCCGCGGCTGCGCGCGTAAATTGCTGGAGTGAACTTGGTACTAGTGAGGGCGGAGTATTCAGCAGAGCCAACGCAAACGTCTTTGATGAGCTCAGCGGCACTCCTGAGGCTGCAGTCAACCCAACAGCTCTGCAATAAGATGATAAGCTAGCGATTGGGAAACAAGTACTACAGGCGAGGTGCCCCTAGCTTGCCTCAGCCTTTAAGCCTTCAGGCTCCTCGAAGCAAAAGGCATGAACCACGAGCGAACTTACGTCGTTCGTCATGATGCAAACAAACTCACTTTTCGTGTGGCTCAGGCTCTGGCAGAGCCCTTGAGAAGGGACTCGCCGTTTGCTGCGACCTTTACAGCCAGGTATGCTGCATCAAGCCGGAGACCCTTTGTCCATCCGTCAACCTGCCTTCTCTGCTGGTCACCTTCGTTATCCACAGGCTGTGGAAAAGTCGCCAGTGAGGGGCATGAAATTTGTACATGGTTACAAAAACCCGTGCTTTGTCTGGAAGATTCGTGGTAAACAATGTTGCTTGAATGTTTTGGAACATTGAAACATGTCGACGGGGTATCTTGGAGCAACTTCTTTTGTTTCCACTGGTTGAAGAGGTGCGGCCAATGTATTGGACCGGAGACCCGCGACTAGATGATCTTGAGCCTCCACTGCAGCTCGCTCACCTGAGTGTCCGTGACACGAATGGCGGTCAGGTTATTGGAGACTGATCTCCCCTATCTAGTAGGGTAGTGAGCATTCCTGCTTTGACATGAACTTTGCATGCAACACGCGTCAAAGTTTTCAGCATTCGCTTTGTTTGCCAGCTGTTTTCAGATCTGCAAGCGTTGAATGATTTGTCAGCAATCAAACGAAAGGGTTTTCCGGACGGGTTGCCCTCCTAGGTGACTCAAGATCTGCGGTGGAAGGCAGCGAAGTTGAATGGGGACCTCATGCTCTTTGAAAACGGCAGTCAACTCTCATTTGGTGTGAATGCGAGAGCTCAGTGGAAGTGTACGCGTATGTGGATCGGGGTCTCACAATCGCGCCGCCCCTGAAGTGGACCAAGCACATAAGTAGTGCATCTGCTGGTAAGAATTGGATATTTGCGTGTGGACTCGCATGAAGCAACGGACTATGTCCTCAATTTGGAGATCTAAGTAGCAAGGGATTTAACAAGACACTTTCGTCAAATGTGATAGAAGATTTTTGCGCACAAAGTTGTGAAGATCGAGAAGCTGAGATTGGTTGGAGTATCAGGTGCCTGGCGATGACGGAGTCGGCCGCCTTGAGATGCGGTTTCACCTTTCAGACTCTGGAAGGACGAGGACGAGAATTACGGAAGCACAAGGTAAGGGCGTCCGTTTACTGTCAAAGCTGTGTCAGGTAAAGGAGGGGAAGGTGTCCTAGGGCAACTCATCTTGAGTTGCCGTCTTCATTGAGTTCCTCAGTGTGACTGTTCAGCAACAGTAGCAACCTGGACAAAAAGAGGACATGATATGATAAGGACCATCAGTAAGACTGAGCTTTGTCGCGGCGTACTTGCATGTGCATGAACAATGGATTGTGTAATCTATGTCAGGATTTAATGCTGACGATCAGATTACTGTCCGCGTGTGTCCAGGATGGAGGCGGAAAGTCTGGAAAGCACGCTCTTTGCACAGCTGAGACTGCCTAGGTACCTTGACATCGTCACGCGCATTCGTACATATCTTTTGGTTAGTATAGCTATAAGAAAGCGAGATTGGTGCTATTTGTAAGCCTTGATAGACACCAACGTCGTCAACTGTGCGTACTGCTGCCCTATTGTCAAGTTCGTGGTAGCAGTCTGATGTTTCATAAAAAATTCTCTTCATTCTCCTGGTATTTGGACTTGTGCAGGATTTCAACGGTGCATCAATGGATCCTGTGATGGCTAGTGTCTCTGCCCCGGACTCGGGTTGGCAAGCACTGGGCTGTGGAACCAAAGCGCTTTGTCATAAGCACTAGCGACCAGACGGTTCAGGACTGTCGAAAGAAGTGGAGAAAGTACGCACTGCAAGGATTCTTCTGACGGACTTGACGTGTTTGACCGTCTACTATTTTCCATCTTATACTGCTTGTCGACATATGATCCTGTAAGCATCTCAAGTTGGTGTCCGATCGGACACCATGGGTTCTGAGGGAATCTTTGCAATCTTTGCCATTGTTTAGTCAGAAAGTGCAGCTAGTGTGCTTCGGTCCAGTAGCTCTGCTGATCAGGATCGTGAGCTGTGGCGTTTAGGATGGCAGATTGCGCGATCGTCAAAGAGTTGCTTGTCGCTGCTAGAAGAATGTTGTTAACGAGAAGGTGGCTCGCAGGAGCCTGCAGCGGCGGGGCCCGGCGCCCCATCAATTGCAAGTACGTTTGAGAAACGCGTTATGACGGCTCACAGCATTATGTACGAGAGCGCACGACACTCACATGCAGAAAAGCCAGAGCTTATGCATGTTAAATTTGATTGGACTGAATAACGGTGCTTGTGACAAAGAAGTTGCGTGTGACGATCCCTGATGGCACAACTCTGGGTGTGCATCTTTGAAGATTGAGGGGTAGGAAGCTCAGTAGTTGGTTGTGGTTAGAGCCTCAACGCACTCGTTTTAGTAGTTTGCCTGAGGGCCACCGATAGAAGGTCAGACATTGAAGAAGAATAGTGATGACATTACATACATTCAAATTATGTATGCCATGAGAAGCCTATGGCCCAGGTGGCTACGGCGTGTGAAAGAGAACATCATAGCATGCTACACGGCCCTACATGCTTGTAGATCCGCGGCGCTGGGCCCAGCGCAGCATGACAGCAGTGCAAGTGCCGGGCCCGGCAAGACGTTGGTGTGAAGACTGTGTGCTGACCTTCTGCTGATCATGTATGCTCGTGTGCCAGTACAGCTCTAATATAGAAAGACGGCTTATGGACGTGCGCATATATTCCAGTTCATTGCAAGCGGCAAAGCACATACACAGGGATACCAGTTGAGAGCAACTTTGATACCTGGCTTATCGTCCATCAGGACCATGCGCCATGATCGGACCGAACTGATCAAGCACAAATGTAATCAAATAATAATTGGTTGCTGGTCGTGTTGAAACCCTGGGAACAGACCCTCTGTACAGAACAACAATCCATATGCTGCAACGCTAAAAGACTAACTTCGACCGCATAACGAGACTCGTAAAACTTTCCCACCGACCTAGAAGTAGTCCGCGAGATTCTCTCCGCTTAGCTCCTCCAGCTTCTTGACCAGCCCTTGACTCTTCGCCACGACCGTCAGATCCGTTTCCTCCAACAGTTCCGCCAAGAACGGAATCGTTTCCGGCAGCAGAACTAGGTACTCCTCCCGCAACCGATCCACCAGGAACTCCACCACCGCAAGTGCCAGCATCTTCGGCCGCGAGTTTTCGCCCTCGCCCCTAGTTGCCATGAGCACGTCCCGATTGAGCGGCCGCCACATGGCGTCGCTCCGGGCCGCTAGAGCCATGTACCCCAACGCACTGACCAGAGTCTCGTCGCCGGAACTTCTAGAGGTTTCATCGTCCACGCCCTCGGGAATGTCCACTCTGAGTTGCGCAACCAGGGGGGGTAGAAGTTGCTGGAAACGGCCCGGCTCTAAGAAGCCCACCGTATCGTACTGGAAGCACTTCTGCAGCGCTGACGTCACCAGCCGCCGCAGCTCCCACTGCGCGGGCGTCAGCGCCGAGCTTTCCGATCCCTCCGCCGCCACCTTGGCGCTCTTCTTCTTCTTCTTCTTCGGCCGGAACCCGACGTTCTCCTCGCCCCCCCCCTCGCCCTCCTGCCCGGCAGATCCCCCCAGATGCGTGATGACGCCCTCCATTAGGTACTTGAAATAAGGGACGAATACCGACCGGAGTTTCTCCGCGAGCGCCCCGACCAGTCCGTACAGGAACGTATTCCTCGCTAGGCTTCCCTTTGACGTCATCACGTCCGACTCCGCCCCCTCGTCCGCCGGAAGGAAATCCGTTTCCGCCCACTCGAGCGTCTTCAAGAACAGCGGCTTGAACGTATTCTCACTCAGCTTCACCACCAGCGCAACGAAGGCGCGAATAATCGCCGGCTCCACCGATGTCCCGACCGCCACACCCGGGGGCGGTTTCCGCCGCAGATCAAACGCCCGGAGCAGAAACTCAAACACCGTTCTGTGGTGCGCCGCGACCCCCGCTTTGTCCAACTTGCTGGCAAGCGCAGCAACTAGATCGAAGAGGCTCGCGAGGGCCCGTTCCGATTCCGCCCCCAGCGCGAGGGCCCTGTCGTAGGCCCGGATCACCGGATCCAGCAGCAGCCGCGGGGGCACCTTCTCCGGCAACAGGGCCCGCACCGCGGCCGCGCGCTCGGCCGCCGCTGACGTCAGCACGGCCGGCTGCAGAAGCACCAAGTCTAGAATCTGTCCGAGGTACGGGCTGAGGAACGCCCCCAGGTTTGACACCAACTTTTCGACCGCCGCGATGCAGACCGTCAGAAGCTCCAGCCGTTCTTCCGGCACGGTATCCCCGTTCTCGGCGACCAGCTGCCTTTGCGCGCAACCCAGGACGGTCGCCAGGACACGTGGCAGCTGGGGGAGCGCCCGCGGCCCGAGGGAGGCGCAGATCGTCGCGGCGCAACGAATCGCCGCGGCCGCGACCGCGGGGTTTACGGAACCCTCCGCCGGAACCACCTTGGCTTTCTTCGGGGTTTTGGGCGCTTTCGGCGGCTCCGCGTTTGCGAGAACGGCGTCGATGGCCGCGCCGAGGGTTTCGGAGGCTTGGGGGCCGAAGCGCGCGGCGATCGCCTCGAGGGCGGCGAGCGCGGCTTGCTTGGTGCTGGGGGAGGGGTCTTCGGACGGTCCGGATAGAAGAGATGCAATCTCGGACGCTAGGGTCGCGTACTGGGCGACGGTTTGGGGATTGTCGGCGGGAGCAACGGGGGAGTGGTCCTTGACTTCGGTGGAGAGGAGCTTGAGGACGCGCCGGCGGACGTGGCGGTCCTGTAACAGGAAAAAGTATGTTTCGGACTCGAAACCTAACCTTTCTTTAAAGTCGATGATTGGGCTGTGAGCTTCAAGGAGCACGGCTGACACTTGGATCACGAACACCACTAAAGCGCCTCTTCTGGAAGCTTTAAGAATGGAAGTCCTGAAATTGTAATCGGCACAAGGAGTTGGTCCTACAAGGGTTGGGTCGAGCAGCCGGTCACCTTGCAACTTCACAAAATGCAATTCCCTCAATACTGCCTCTCGTACCAGCATCACTCCACATTCCAATTCAAAGTATCGGTCGAAAGCCGAGCTCGAAACCCAGAGAAGCCCAGCTCTTCCTCGTTGCCTTAAGTTTGCTCAACCATAGTCGCTTAAAACGTATGCCCTTGTCAAGGAGAGGCCCTGTTTTACCTCATGGTGCAGCAGCCCAGAAATGCCACTGAGGTACGCTGCGGGGTCCATTAGCGAATACAGGGCCTCCAGCAGTTGGTAGGCCGCCTCCGTGTTGGCCTTCTTGCCCTTCGATGTGGAGCCGTCGGCGTCGGCGATCGGCCGCAAACGGAGGAGCACCTGCGCAGGTAGAAGAAGTCGTTTCGTTTCTTGGAGCCCGACCAAGCTTTTGAAAACCAGTGACCCTTCGGAACAAACGGACAAACTTTGGCGAATCGTTGAGAGTAAGAGACGACTTGCAGTCAAGCCTGGCCTACTAGGATACTCCGTTCGCTACTTCTGGAAGCTGAGAATCAATCAGGGGATAAAAAGCAGACTTCTGCTGTATACATTGTCCAAGGCTAGCTTCTAGCATGTACTCGGCCAACGATCGCACTTGGCAGTTGCACCTTTTTGTGCAACTACTTTATTTCCAGATTTCGAAAGATTTCAGGTTTCACCGAGAGAATTGGTTATTTTCGAACATTTCGCATTAGGTTTGCCTTCTCTCTACACTGTTCCTCAGCATGCGCATCCGTCCACCTACGTTCATGACCGTCATACGTTCGGTAAAATCTGCCCCGACGACCACTGACCACGAAGGCTTCCAAAACAACATGATCCAGTTTACATGCTACCGGCAGAGTGCATTCCGTACCTGCTCCATGAGAGACACGTAGCCCTCCTGGACCCTTTTCTCTTCCTCTTCAGTCCCCGCCGCTTCCCGTAACCCCGTGAACGCCCTCTGGCCCAGTTGAGATATCACAAACGCCGTCGCAGCTCGCGACAGCTTCCGATCGGCCGCCGAGGGCGCATCGCTTATGGCAGTCGCCTCCAGGAGCTTATGATAAGCGGCCAGCCGCACGGACGGGAGGTGCTGGCTGGCGAGCGCGTCCGCGAGTCGGACGAGCCAGTCGTCGGGAGCGTCCGAAACGAGGACGCTCCGAGGGGAGCCGGCTGGGGGGGAAAAAAGACAAAGAACTTTGAGCGTCCGAAAAGTGACCGGTTCACTATCGGATCCAGAGGGGGCGATGATGGTCGTCTTTGACGTGACGAGGGGTTACGATCGAACGGACCAGCCAATCGGTTAAAAGGAGGCGCTCCAAAGGAAGCTGGCTGAAAGTAGTGAAAAGAGGAACTTGGATTCTCAAGCATCACTGTGTCATTATCAGACGTTGACAAAGGGTAACTGGAAACGGCACACCCGCCGTTGGAACCGTTCTCATCACGTCTCAACCAGGTAGCTTAGCAGCGAGACTACTGAAGGAAACGAGAAATATAAGGAACAGTACTGACGGACGATCAACATAGATAAAACCGACAATACGGAGAAGTACGAAACTTGGCCCCTCACCCTCGTCGTGGGGCGTTTCCCCGACCCCCTCCACCTGCGCCCGGATCAGCAACAGCAGCGCCCGGGGGATCCCCCGGTCAATCCCAACCGACCGCAGTAACCCCTCCAGCAAACCCATCCTTCGGTGCGCAGGGACTTTAGGGAGGGCGACAATGAACACCTCGAGCAGCTGGTCAAGGTCGCCGGACTGGGCGGCCCAGGCTGGGACAACTGCCGAGAGCATTTGTTGGACCACCCGGTGGGACGCGCTATCGTCGAGCGCGAGCGAAGACGAGCCGACGATTGTGGCGACTTCGAGGAGACGGTGTAAGACCTGCGGGGAGAGCAAACATTTCGGTACGCGTGCAGATTGTGATAATCTTGCGACTAGACGGTTTTTCGACATGCCGCAAAGTAAGGAGGCAATCTGGCCTTGTGCTCGGCCCAATCCTGCAGCCCATGTAAGGAAAGAATACGGGTGCACCGAAGTGCCATGTGGTTCAGTCCACGAGAGTGAAGGACCTAAGGTTTGGACCTTGAACCCCAGGGGCTGCTCAGAAAGCACTTCAAGCATTCTGCGCTTTTTGGGCAATCTTGCAAAGCGAATCGACCAAGATGGTTTGCTGGAACTCTGTACTGTGCTGCTATGGTCAAAAAGGCATCCGAACCCCCCTTACGACAGATTAGATCCATCGACAAGTCATGAACCATCTTCGTTATCCTCGAACATTCAGGATTATTTTAAGACAGGACACAGAGGAGAGTGGCTTCGAGAACGGTGTGCCAATGAGCAAAGCTCAAAAGGTAAATTCGTCATTGCCACCAAACTGCATGCGACGTCGAATAAATTGCGTTCGTCTATTGGAGCACTCTAACATCGCTTCGAAAGTAGAGGGACGTCTTGACAATTAGAAAGTAGAAGCAAGCAGGATGAACAGGGACATTCAAGCAAGGCCTCGAGAGCAAGAGGCAATGTGCGTCCTATACAAGGACGCCCCGGATCTCAATTATCTAGGTGGACAAGCCATGAAACTTCAGGACCAAACGAGATATCTCCATTTGTTAGCTTTATTGGGTACGCTGAGTAACAAAGTGGGGCCGTTCAGAGCAGGACAAACGAGGGTGCAACTAAAGAACTTCCCACCAGTGGTTCGAAGGATTCCCTTAAAGATATTGGTGATGAGGAAAGAAAGGGTGCAGCCTCGTCTGATCAAGGTTTCGCAAAAATTTTGTGACGAGAAAGAGCATGCCGAGGCCTCAGGTAAAAGGTTGTCATTACTGCGGCTAAGCCGCTCAGCCATATGCTTGTATTACAACATCATCGGCCTCGGCATGCTAGAGCTTCAAGCCAGAGCGCTTTCTTCTTGCAGCTGGAAATAAACGCAGGAGCCGAAGAATGAAACGAACAAAGAGCAGAACGTGGAAGATCAATGCTTGTCGTTACCATTTAATGAGCTAGGGGGAGCACGTTGCCGTCAAGGGGCGTCTCAAAATACACAAAATGCTGAAGAACCGGACAGAGCAGGGTATCCAGTAAGCCTGAACCTCGCCTGAAGGGATCCATACTCTTCTGTCAAAACTAAGTGAGGAACAAAGTTTCTTGTAGCGGAAAAGGCTGTGAATGAGAGACACCCAAAACATAGCAGAATCCTAGTAATATCGTTTGAATCAGCAAAAGCTTGACTGCTCACCTCCTCCGGCAGGACCCTGGCCAGCGCGGCCAGCAGCGCCAGCGCATGGTTCCTCGTCGGTGCGTCGGGCGCCTCCCTCACGCACCGCACCACTAGATCCACGTCAAACGGCCCTTCCCCGTTCTTCTTCCCCCCCCGCGTCTTCCGCCCAGTATCTCCCCCCTCTTTCTGCGCCGCAATCCTTTCCAGACTCGCCAGCGTAAGTTGCATCGCATAAACTGCTCTTGGGGGGGGCATCGCCGGCCCCTTTGGCACACCCCCCTCCTCGACGGCTTCTCCGAGGGATCCCCCCGGGGGCCAGCTCCGGTCCGCCAGCCCCCGCAGAAGCGCGGACAACTGCTGGGCTAGGGCGTCCGCATGGAGTCCACTCCCGTTCAGACCGTCCGAAAGCTCCTTCCACTGCAACAGCTCCAGCAGAGCGGTCCCCAGCTCGAGACTGCCCGCAAGAAGCCTCTGCGCAGGGGGGGCAGTTTCTGCACCTTGCTTCCCCCCCCCGGCCCGCTTCTTCTTCTTCGCCGGCGTGGCGGCGACCGCAGCGCCGTTAGGGTCCTCCATCAGGAGCGCCAGGAGGCGACACGTGGCAGCCGCCGATAGGTCGACGCTTTCCAGCGAGCGGCGGACCGAGGTGCGCAGCGCCTCCGTGCTGGCCGCTGACATCAGCGCAAGGAGGACAGCTGTCAGCCAGTCCTGCAACGGGGCGTTCAGAGCTCCGAAGAACGCCCGGTCGACTCGCTCGGCTGCCGCGATCGCAACCGCATCTGAGAACGTCCGCAACTTTTCGGATCCTGCCAAGCCAGTTTGAAGGGCAAGAACCAACGGTTCCAGGGACGGTTGGTTTTCCCCCTCCTGCCCCAGGCGGCCCGCCAGCTCCGGTGTGAATAAGCTAATGAGCTCCACCAGGAGAGCCGTGTCATCCGACTCCCCCCCTGAGACACCCGTATTTACACCACCTCCTAGAAGCGAGAACATCAGCGGCTGAAGTTGCCCAACGACTTGCGCCTGCTCGTCGGCCCGGCTGCTCACGAAGGCCGGCCGCAGGGCCCCCAGGAGGACCGCCCGCTGGTGGCTGGTGTCAAGCGTCCCTACCAGGGCGCCAGCCAGGAACTTTGACACCGCCCACTTCCACCCCACCCCGAAGATGCTTCGCAGCGCGCTGAGCTCGCCCGCGACCGAAACGCCGTCGTCCGGATCCCGAAACCCGAGCAACTCCGACAAGAACGGCTTTAGGTGACCCCCGTCGCTTCTGAAGTGCTGCCGCTCGCTCCAGGCCGCCTCCAGGACCTTCCTCACCGCGCTGACGTCAGCGACGTCGGAGTCGTCCTCCATGACGTCATCGCCGTCCGCACCCAGTCCCGCGGTCCGGCTCCAGAGCGCACGGACGGCCCGGAGCGCCGCTCTCCGGACGCCCTTCCCAGGGCTCGCCAGGGCGACCAGCAGCTTCGGCGCGAGTGTGAATACGTTCTCGGGACTGAGCTCTCCGTTTTGGACGACGTTTGTGAGCAGCTCTAAGCTCTGCTCCTGGACCGCTGCCCCCGAACCCACCCCTGTGCCAAGCACTATCTTGGGCAAAAACCGCTCCCCTAACCACTGGGTTTGCTCGGTTAACCCCGCCCCCGCCGCTCGCTCCAAGATGCGTTTCAGCGCTGGCATGACCTCCTTTTCGAGAAGCTTCGGCCCTGACGCCAGCAACGTAAAAAGCAGGCCCAGCCTTTCATCCTCTACCAAACCCACGGCCCGCTCATAAGCGCCCAGGAGTACGGTTAGCGACGCCCGCTCTGGGCTAACCCTAACCGCCTTGAACCACGCCGCGCCATTCTCGCCTTTTCGGACCCAGTCTGCGGCTCCTTCTGGAAGCGGGTCTTCCTCCGGGTTACCTAAAGCTGCCGCCCTAACCCACTCCGACTCCAGCACCGGCAGCACTGCCTTCAGTATACCCTCAGCCTTGACCAGAACTTTAACCCCTCTGAGCGTCGCCAAGACCCGGAGCAGAATCATCAGGACGAGGGGCCGAGAGCGGGGCGCTGAGGTCAGCGCTGACCTCAGCAAAGAGATCCCCTCACTGGGGTTTGTTGACAAACCCTCTGCAAGCACTGACAAAAGCGCGTCGTTCAGCTCGGCGTCCCCTGCAGCTTTGGTCTGCTTATCTCCCCCCTCCTCGTCAAATTTCTTCGTCAGCTCCGCTAACCCCGCAGGAAACCCAGCAATCTTAGCTGCCTGGGCAATGGCCTCCCGATTAACCTTCCTGGTTTTGGGCTTGACCAGCATGTGACCCAAAAACAGCGTCCCCACTAGCTCGGCCATCTCAGGGTGGGCGCCCAGGAAATCGCCTGCCAGGACCCTCAAAGCATTCCTTGCTACAGCTGTCGCGGCCTTACTATCCCCAGGAACTTCTAGGCTTCCTTCCAAGGCAGCGACTGAAGCTGTGAGTGCGCCTGACAGGGCCTCGAACAGGGGTTCCCGTGCGGTTAGCGTAACTAGCGAGGGGAGGTTCAGGGCCGTTTTGACGACTTCGGGATCGTCGTCTCGCAGGCGGCGGAGAACGGCGGCACCCAAGAACTGCTGCAGCTGCTGGTTGCCTGCAGTAAAGATACCAGAAGAATGGGTGATTTTTCCACAAGGACATGCTTATGTGCGATTTTGACTCGGGATTGAGTGGAAAATAGCGCATGTGGGCAATCAATGGAAGGAACTTGCAAGTGCCTCTGGCGCATAACAGTAAGGCAACATCAGGGATGACTCTTTTAACAATCCCCACGAAGGGCCCTTCTAAGGTCCCCCGTTACCGATAATATTTGACACATGTTCAACCAAGCAAGTAGGGCCAAGAAAAGCAACAGCTTTCGATGCACGTTGATGAACAACCAAAACTCATCAGCCCAAAAAGCGGGCCATGCAATTGCATTCCAACTTGCCCCGCTTTGTCGACGAGACATGTTTTCCAAGAAAGCCAACTTTCAGAAGTATATGTTGCCTTAAGACTGACCATTCTGATTGCCAGACTTACCTTCGCCTTTGGACTTCTTTGCCAATGCCCCCAGCCTCTGTAGTGCCAGTCTCCTGACCTCGGCTTGCGGGTGATCCACCGACAGGTACAAGCTCGCCCCCGACTCCGCCAGAGGCGCATGGAGCCCCCCACCGAACGTCCCTTGCATGAAGTCGAAAAGTGCGTTCGCGCCCCCCTTGCCTTCATCCGACTCGTCTTCATCCGCACCTAGATCCCCCCGCTCGGCAGCCTCTTTCATGAGTGCGTTCACACTCGCGTCTAGTTCGACTGAGTAGCGCTTGTCTAGAACTCTCAGCACCCGTCGAGCTACTGCCGCGCCGTCCGACGCCCCTGAGGTGTCCGATCCGGCTACCCCGTCCGAATTTGCCGGACCGCCAAGCCCTGCCAGTGCCAGAAGGTTCCTCGTAAGCCCCTCGACCTCCCCCCCCACTGAAACCTTCTCCACAATCTCCACCAAAAGCGCCTCGTAGGTCTCATTTCCCGGAGCGCCCGAAACGAGCGCTCTCAGGAACGGCCTCAGGAACGGTGCCGCGTCAAAGCGCTGCGACAGCTCTCCAAGCGCGTCTGCGAGCCCGGGAAACTTGACGAGGGCTTTGAGGGCTTTCGGGGGAATGGCTGCGGGGCGCTGGGTTTGGAAAATCTGGATGATAACCATCAACGATTCGGATTGGAGGGAAGGGGGAGGGCTGCCGGCCAGGGACCGGAGGAGGGAGGAAAGCAGGCTCTTGGAGAGAGTGGCGCGGTTGGACAGCTGGGCAGCAATCATGAGGACACCCGCCTGTAAAGAAGGGCTTGATTGGTTGCATTGACCCTCATAGGAACTTTGATTAGAGACACAAGAACTCAGTACTTTGGAGTAATCCCGCAAGGTGCAGAGCACCACCACTATGTTTTCAAAAGAACATTGAGGCAGGAGAAACCGATAGATCACCCCTCTCAGAATGTGACAGTGGGTATCTACGCTGCCACCAATTGCAGAGAAAGCATAACCACTCTCCTCAGAGCTTTCAGAAACTAGATCCACAAAGAAGCCCAATGCTGCGGACAACTTAGCCCGATACTGACTACCTCGTGTTAAGCTTCCAGCTTCCACAGTCAAGACTTCTGCGCAGAGTGTGATTAGTGGTGGATCAGGAAGTGACGCTACAAGGTTTTCCAAAACCCCGCACCTGATACTCCACCGCTGCGCCCTTCTTGAACCCGTCCAGCACGTACGGCAGAATCCTCTTCACAAGCTCGTCCGTAAACGACGCCACCGCCGCGAGCACCTCCATCACGATCACCGCCGAGAACGACAGCAGCGGCTTGGACGCATTTCGGGCGTCAGAAACTAGGCGTGCGGCATCTAGAACCGCGTCCAAAACCGCCAAGTTGCGGGAGCAGTGCAGGACAAGAGAGTCCCTGGGGAGCGGCGCGCCGTTCTGCTGGACGCGGCCAACCAGGAAGCGCCACCTGGCGGCGCGGGAGAGGTCGAGAAGCTGGACGAGGCGCACGAAGAGCTGCGTCTCGTGGTAGGGGAGGGCGGACAGCAGGACGGCCTCCACATTGTACTGCTGGATCTGCAGGGGGGGTTTACGAAGAGGTTGAATGAGGTCACAGGTTTACGGAGGCTCAGAAAAATTTGGAACAAGTCTTCCTTGCACGTTCAAGGGGTTCCCCACAATTCAAAATGGAGGGGCAACATTTTGGCTGCCGCGAGCATGGGGGGCAAGTCGAGTCTGTAACGACTTCAAACAATCGCAACACCACCATGATTGAAATGGTGGTACTGGCTTCAATTGAAGCTGAAAGTCTGTAGAAGTGGTGGGGTTCGATAATGTTCCGAGGAATTGCAGACGAATTGCAAGCTCCATAATATGGCGCCTTAATGCGCAAGCTGCCGCTGAGTGGTGGTGAATGGTAATGGTCAAACCCTAATGGTAACGCTTCTGCTCCCTGGTTGGAAACCGAAGGCGCATCATTGCGCAGCCGCCTGAAAAAAGTGCGAGTCTGCTCTCCCGCATGCTGCAAAACGTCTCAACAAAGGCAACCAGAATCAATGGCGTAATGCTTCTATTTCCTTTTAAGGCTTCTTTAAAAGCCAGTGAAGCAATGGTGGTAATAAGTAGAAACTTTGCATATACAGTGACTCTCCACCAAGCTCAAGCACTGCAAAGTACCCGTGATCTTGGCTTCCATTTTGAATTCTGTGAGAGCAACTTTTGATACTCTTTCTCAATCTTTCTGAAAGATTCACATAACAAAAGCGGAGGGAATCGACGTACCATGTAACGCCGTATCAGGAACTCCAGCGCCTGATGGGCGGGTGGTAAGAGGAGATAGTTGGAAAGGAGCCTCAGGAAAGCTGTGACGGAAGCGTCCAGCTTCTCGTTGGCCTCCTTTGTCTGCATTTCACGGTCAAAGTCGGCGCCCACTTGGCTGAAAAGTGTCTCGGCGAAGGGCTCGAAGCGGGCGTCCATGTTGCACAGCTCATCGAAACCTGCACATAAAGCTCACACCAGTCAATATCTACAACTTCTGTTTATGTTTTGCACACAATGGAAACAAAGCGCGAAAGCGTATTCACTTTCCTAGAGTGTTCTTTTCCTGCCTTGCAATGCAGGCAATACCTTGCGATGTGCACCTCCTGACAGCAGACCAATTGATAGACTGGGCAATGAGAAGGATGTAACGATGGAGCCGTAAAGTGCTGCCCACCTTGCTTCCCAATGCGATGGATTGTCTGGAGGTCGATGTTTGCCGCCTCCTGGGGGTCAAACAGCAGGGATGGCTTGCCCCTCGGCTGGGGCCGTATTGACGTACCCGTATGAGACAGGGCAATTGCCTGCAGCTGCGAAGCTAGCGCAGAGGCAGCCATGGCGCCGCGCCTGGTCAAGAAGGCGCTGGGCAAGCGCTCAATTGGACTTCCTTCCTCCAAGACTCAGGAGTGTTTTCAACGGGCGTGTGCGAAGAGAGCTTGATCGCTGCTGATGTCAACCATTCCTGAGATTGAGTACCCATATTCGCGCGTTCTGAGATAAACGTGCGGGGTATCAGCAAGTCATAAGCGAACAGTAATCCAAACTTTTATTTGTTGGCATGCAAGGTTTGCAGAGGAACCAGTATTCCATGATTATGCACTCAGATGCTCAAATTGGGTCTTCACAGGTAGCATAACTGTGCTGGCTGGGCTCTGGGTTTCACATCTAATATACGACTTCAATCTTCCTTCGGGGATGCATGACATCACTGTCATCAATGTGGACGATCCGTTGGCTGGGCTGAACAACAGCTTTTCTGAAGTTTTCAACTTTTCCCCTGCCCGGGGCCCTGGCATTGAGAAATTCCAAATTCGTTTCGATCTCTCTGATTCTGAAGAATTTATCCCAATGCCACAAGGAGGAACGCAGCCATGACGACCACCTCGCACATGATCCCCTACTTTTTGGGCCTGAAAGGGCCCACCGGTTTCAGCTCGCGGTCCACCGCAGAGGAGACGTCCGCTGGAGTGGACCTCACTGGACGGGTGGCAATTGTGACGGGTGGGTTCAATCGGCGCAGATAGTGGGGTGCGGGTGTGGGGGATCAGTAAAGGCGGCGAGCAATTGCATGGGCCATTGGTGTGCAGCTATGATACATTTCTGCTTGTGTCATCGGTTACCTGTCTAACATTTGAATTTTCTTAAGGGGGGGTTACTAAGCCCGATTGTTGGTTGTGGTAGGAGTTTGAAGGGAAGGCTCAGCTAATGCATTGATCATGTAGGAATTGGTAGCTTAGACTGCTGGTCAGTCTCTTGATCTACATCCTCTTGCCCCCTCCTTGCACCCCTCTCGTGCTCAACTAACCATCTCAAAAGTTTTTCTTGGGTTAACATTCTCCTTATTGCCCCAAAAGAATGCGCCTCCAAAGTCTGTCTCAAGTTGCATCTCCCTCGACTTCCTTCAAAACCGACTTTGGCCAATTTGCGCAATGAAGCAACATGGAATCAAGAAGTTTGAAGGTGGCAGCTTTGTTAGTCAGTTGAAGACCTTTCGAAGAAGCAATGCGGATCTTTGTTGGACTGAAGTCCTTGTTTCAACCGCATTGTATCTTACACTTAAAGGTGTAGAAACCGAATCGGCCCAAAAGAAACTCTCAAACTGATTGAGTCTCTGAATGCATTGCTCGACTTATAATTCATCTGTTGCCACCCATGAGGGCCCAACCTTCTCGGTGAATTCATTGAACTGCACCACACGCCCCAAGCAGGAGTTTCAATTCTAGAGGCGTACAAAACAAATCAGCCACCAACAAAAGTACCTTAGGTGGGCCGCTGGTACTGATGAAACCTGGTACTGTTGAAAGCCCGATATTTTTTTCTAGTTCTTTCCTCTTCATGACTAACTCCTTGACTTGACAATCTTACTAGGCCCCGAATATATCTGGGCCTTGACATGAATGCCTGTCAAAGAGAAAAGATTCCTCAAATGGGAGGTTTTTAGCACCAGCTACTCTCCCAACACAAGCTACCAATACCTTTCCACAATCAGTGCAGCACATAAACCAGTATTCTTTTCTGGAGACGTTCTAAAAACGCTATGAGAGAAAATGAGGATTCAGATGAAGTATAACATGTCCTCCTCTCACAGGTGCCTCCAGCGGCCTTGGGATTGAGACCGCCCGTGTGCTCGCACTGCGGGGGGCGGAGGTGGTCATTGGCGTGCGGAGAGTGAATGCGGGGGAGGAGACAAAGGAAGTCATTCTGAAGAGCATTCCAAATGCAAAAGTGGGTGTGCTGTCTCCACCCCTGTCATTCCTCTTCTGAGAATTTCTGAGAACTTCTGAGAACTTCCTCTGAGAGTTGTCTTGAGAACTCTTCCTCCAAGCGGAGCTTGTGGAGTCGTCAAGTGAATTTTGAATCAGATTGTTGCTTGTCGCTCCAACTCGTTTTTCGGCTGGTAAGATTCCGAGGTCATCTGGCTGGCAAAGAACTTATGAGACTCCTGGGCAGACCTTATGGTCCTTTCTGCACAGTATTTCTCCTCCAACTTGGACAGATCAGATCTCAGGGACATTTACTAAAGTTGTTTTGTGCGGTTTGCTGGACTTAATTGACTTACGACATCGCATTTCTTGCTCTGCAGATCCACGTCCTGGAGCTGGACCTGGGCTCGCTCGCCTCGGTCCGCGAGTTCGTCAAGAACTTCAAGGAGCTTAAGCTGCCGCTTAACATCCTCATGTGAGCCCACGATCCAACGGTTCTTATCAAATCTGTTGCCTTCGAATCCAATGATAACGCTTGACAGCGTTAGCTTCGTGGTTTGTTTAATCATTGCCAGTCTAGAAGGCGGATTTCTAAAGGTCTGCGATTCAGAAGTTCACTGCTGTAGGATGCGTTCTCAGTAGCCACACGTGGGTCCGCCGAGATAGTGGTCAATAAGCCTGATCGACCCTCGGTTGTCCAATCGGTTGCAGGATCACGACTTTTTTCGAGCAGACTTCCCTCTTGCTCTCTTTGATTAGTCACCATCTATGGCACCCCTATCGAAACCTGTCTTTCAAGCTAAGCTTCCTTCAGACTAGTTGCGATTTCCTATTCTTCTTCTGCTTCCTATGAAACTGAAAATGGTGTGATAAATCCTTCTACCTTGATTCGTTGAATCCTGAAACCTAACAAAGCTCTGAGTCCGTCTTTTGTCCCTGCGCTTGCAGCAATAATGCGGGTGTGATGGCGTGCCCCTTTGGCAGGACCAAGGACGGCCACGAGCTGCAGTTTGGGACTAACCACCTGGGTAAGCGGAAACTAGATCCAGTTAACCTTCACATTGACGCCCCTGATCTCTTGCAATCGACCTGATCATTGGGATTGACGCGTCAGTCACAGATCACAGCTGAACGGATCATTTTCTGCACCCGCACCTGTGCTTCAACGAAAGCTTTACAACCAGAGCTGTATTCCGGTGTGGTGCTTGCTCGACCACTTCTGTAAGAGCGTACCTGGATTTGCAGCTCAACAAATGCTTGGGTTGCCCTACAATGCGTTTCTTCTGTTCCTGTGCTGCGGCCCTGTCAGCCCCCTTCTGTGCACAGAGCCCACTTACATCAGCAACTCGCCCTCACAAGGATCAGTTCCATACACAATCAAATATGCCATCCAACTCCCACTGGGACTTGCCACACGTGCGGCCCGCTTGCATCGGAGCCGCACTTCTTAGATCTTGTATGTCGACCTCACTTACTGTCGTTTTATTAACTGGGACTTGACTAAAAGCTTCTCTGCACGAGTTGCGGCATGGTGTCCCGTAGTTGGTTGAAAGCTCTAGCTTATGAGCTTCCAAACCCTGGCACCTCGAGCAGCCTTTGGATAATCCCCTTTTCTCTTGCTGATCTTCGCCTTCGATCTGACGCCCTGGGCTTGTTCACACTCCTCGCAGCCCGCTTTCTGCTGGACCCCTGCCGTTTCTCAACTTCGATCGGACGCCCCGGGTGCATTCACACTCCTCGTAGCCCACTTTCTGCTGGACTCTTGTTGATTTTCACCTCCCATTTAACGCCTCGAGTTTATTCACACCCCACGCAGCCCACTTCCTGCTCGATTCCGGAATTCTCCACCTTCAATCTGACGCCCGGGGTTTGTTCAGACTCCGCGCAGCCCACTTCTTCCTGGTCTCTCGTTGATCTTCTCTTTCAATCTGACGGCCCGCGCTTATTCACACTCCACGCAGCCCACTTTCTGCTGACGGAGCTGCTGCTGCCGCTGATCAAGCAGACCGCCAAGGACACCGGCATCCAGGGCCGCATCGTCATCCTGGCGTCATCCGGGCACGACCTCACCTATCCGGGGGGTATTCGGTTCGACAAGCTCGACAGCGAGGAGGGGTGAGCGTCGAGCGTGAGCGGCGACTTCTTCAGATTTCGAAATTCTGATTATCGAAAGTGGAGAACGTCCGGCGGCGAGGAGGCGTTTCAGGAACACAGAGCCTCAAAATGCTAAAAGTTCTGAGATTGGGTTTGGCATCACTTCACCACGTTACGCAGTGCCGCTGCGACGAGGGCGCCGAAATGTCCTTCGGAGTACCAAAGGGTCCGAGGTCTGTCAAATCCGTTCATCCCTCCGGGTGTGTACCGTATCAGAAGTCGGGTATTTGCAACTCATGAAAGGAAGGGCTGTCAGGTTCTTACCATTGACAGCAAGGATGGCTGAGATTTGAAGCTTCAAGAATAGTGAATCAAGGGCCTTAGAAGCTTCTGACCCGCTGGCTCCAAAGCTTTGACGTTTTTCAGTTTCAGTTTCAGTTTCAATTTTTCAAATTTTTGAGTCTGGCTTAACATTACCAGATTGTGTGCAGACCAGGTCAAGTGATGAGGCCGCGCTGGAGAGAATCAAACTCAAGAAAAATTTTAGTAAGCCGAGATAATAGTAAGGTAACCGCACTGGGACGGGTAGGGTTAGTTTGGTGGTTAGGGTGGGTATGGGCGCCGAGCGGGTGTATTTTTGGGTTAGGGTTTCTAGTGTTAGTCGGTGCTTACTATTATCTTGGCTGACTAATATCTTTCTTGAGTTTTATCTGAAAGGATACGAGAATCAGATCAACGTTCAGATTGTGCCCATTTACTTTTCTGTGTGTTCGATCGTCTTCTGGCTCATCCGGAGATTACAGCGCACAGCTTTTGACCCTTTTCCGCCCGTGCAGATACGATCCGTATCGTGCGTACGGCCAGTCCAAGCTCGCAAACCTGCTGCACGCAAAGGAGCTGGCGAGGCGCCTCAAGGTGGGGCCGCTGTTATGCTTCGTCTCTTAAACTGTGTTAATCTGGTGATATTCTGGTCCACAAGCCGAAAGTGGTTGCAAGCCCGCGCTCTGAGATAACTTTTCTCCTTCTGTCAAAAGCGACGGATAAGAAGCTCTGATCCGTCATGGGGCGGTTCTGGACCGCGGTCTTCATCTCCCGGCGGAAGTGTGGGAAAGACTTTGCGACCAGGTATGTGATGCTTTTCGAGGTGGCCATTGCTCAGATCTCGACACCAGCGGTTTGATCTTGCTTACTGCCCCCGTGGTCGACAATAAACTCGACGGTGAAACCCTGCTCGGAGGCTTGCTACCTTCGTGCCACATCCTTCTGCATTCCTGAAGCGCCTTGTCCCGCATGTGAGCGCGTTTGGCACGGACGAGGACCGTTTCCCCGCGCGCAGTGACGCCACAGCATTCGCAACCGGCTTTCCTTCTGTCAAAGATAGGTCTTAATGCTGACTTTGCAAGAGCACCCATCGTCAAGACGAAACAGCGTTCGTTCGCAAACCAGATTAGGACCTTGACTTGACAGTGCAGCTTTCCTTAATGTCCTCGGTAGCTGACGTTCACAAAAGTTTTAGACCAAAAACGAACCGCCACCCTTTGGCTACAGGAAGAGAACGCGAACGTGATCGTGAACGCGCTTCACCCGGGGGTCATCCAGACGGGCCTCGCGCGGCACATGCCCAAGATCGCCGTGTTCTTCATCAGTGAGTGTTCTGGACGGACGGACGCTCCGCGAACGCACGCCTTGCGTCCGAACATCGCGCTGCCGCAAGGTCTGACGAAGAGTGTCAGCGCCGGTGCAAATCAAACAAAGCCGTCTGCCAAGTTCGGCGCAGCTTCTCGTCACCAGTTGTTGCGAACGCCGCGACGAGGTCACTAGGTCGTCCGAAGCTGGCGCCGCATGCTGACGTCATGTTCTTTGCAGAGACTTTCGGCGGGCTGGCCCTCAAGAGCATCCCCCAGGTACGGTGTTAATCGCGTTTCGCCTTAATCCCCTACACGAAAGTCAGTCAGGTCAGACGCACGAAACACCTCTGTGCGCGAAGTAATCGTCTCCCCTTTTTCCTGTTGAGCAACAAGCAAGAACCATCCCAACCGTCGACGAACACTTTTTGTGTGCCAATTCATTTCCTTAAATGGGCAATCACCGCGCCAGATAAACGTTGGGAAGTCCAACGTCAAGCGCCGCTAGCAAGCAAAGGCGAGCCCTCTTCTTTGGACTCATCAGTTGCTGCCGTTCACGCCGACCCTTCCTTCTCGATCTCGCATTTCGAAGGCACCGCTGAGTGCTTTTCTCACTTTGTTCCTTTCTTTTCAGGAATGCGATAGGAGAGCTGATTCGCCATTTTTGCTTGTTGCAGGGAGCGGCGACGAGCTTGTTTCTGGCAACGAACCCCAAAGTCACGGTCTCAGGCGAGTACTGGGCCGACAGCAACATCGCCGCGCGGAGCGATCTGGCGCGCGACGACGGACTCGCCAAGCGGCTCTACGAAGTCAGCCTCGATATGACCAAACCCTAGACCCTAACCTTAACCCTTAACCAAAAATGCCAAACCCTGAGCCATAAACCTTGAGCCCTGCTTTCGAGTCCCCAGCCCCACTTGATCCCCACAGCCCTGAAGCTTGACAGTTGACCCTTTTCTTGAACCGTACAACTCAAACCCTGCACTCATAGATCATAGGGGACTTTAAAAGGTTGACCCCCTACACCTCAAACCCCGTTTCCCAAACCTTAGGTTCTAGCTGAGTACTGGGATTTGGAAGCTGACGGCACTCCTTCGGTTTGACGCCCGCTGCTTGCGTGGAGCAATTAATGTGGTCCAACAGATGATAGTTTAGTGCATGCCTGATTGATGGGCAATTTTGTGCGGAGTGTAAAGTATACGCGCTTGGGGAAGAAGCCGTTAGTATATTTGGATAAAAGATAGTTGTGAGGAGGATTGCTTGATCACTAGAGCCTTTTATTGTATAGTGTGTTTGCTGGTTCGCCGTCTTGCGCTACTCAATTGCTGACAGATATGGTGTACTTTTGCTTGTTCAAACTAAACATATCTATTTCTCCTCTTATTTGAGGAGTGTTAGAGCCGTGCTTACAAGAATTGGGACTCCTTCACTGCACAAATTTCTGGTGCACCATCATTTGAATGCTCCGCGCTGTATGATCTTTGGATATACGTCGCAGTTCACGAGGATAGAGTCGGGAGAAGATGTGCAAATGTAAAATTCATCTCTGCTATTTCCTAGGTTGCATATCAGAAGAGGTCATATTTTGACGTTTATCCATTCGTCGATCTGGCACTGACTTTAGTGCATTTCTTAAATGATGCATACCTCGTAAATGTTTTCAATATGACTAGCTTAATTGAAAAGCAATTAATAGTCAATGGATTTGTGCATATATCTTACAAGTACGGTCGCCCAATAAATGTGGATATGAATATGCCATGCATGTCAGATCGAGCTTGGACGAAAGGGCGCATTACAATCAAAAAATAATTCTGGCCAAGACGATGAATAGTAATTCTGTTATGTGATAATTTATTGTTGAATAAAGTAGAAATCCATATATGTTTTGTAATACTCGTAATTGTTTATAACCCATAGTGTCATTCAAAGGCGAAGCTTTGATCTCTTTTGTTTAGTTGTCGTTGGACGAATTGGGATTGGCAAATTTGACTTAACGTTGAACATACATTCAGATTGGATTGATGGATGTTTGACAATGCTCCGCCACTTCTCCAAAAAGCGTCACTTAGGAAAGATTGTTCACAATCAGAAACGGCTGTTTCCTATCTATATACTACACAACAACACACTCATTCTGATTTTATTCTCAAAATCATTTGTACAGCAGTTTTACAGAGCAAGTCTTTCACAAAATTGTTTAAGGATACACCTCAGGAGGACACAATTTAGAACCTGAAGAGGGGGCTGCCCGTAATACCTTCAACAGTAAGCACGACAATAATGCCAATCCTGCACAGAAAAATCAGTGTCTTATAACAAGATTCAGAAGACTTAACGATTTTCAGCAGCACGAGACAGCAAACGATGTCCACTCAATGGTGTACGGTAAAGGCGTCGAGTCGTACTCAAATGAACCAGATAAATTCAACACGGAAACTGGGTAAACAGCTCCGTACTTGTGCGGGTTGGAACAACTGAAAGGGCAGACAAGATGCAACCAACGACATACATAGACATTCGTGACATGCCAATTCTGTCGACAGCGGTCTGGCAAACAACCGGAGGAATACTCACATCGCAGCTCTGCCGTTCAACCTCTCGGCGTATTGAGTGAAGGGACCAACGGCACGTGCAGGTCTGCAATGAAAAAATCAGGGCGATGAATTACAAACAGTCTCGTAAGCTATGATTTTCGCACAGGTGACAGACAAAGCAGCTGCTGAAACCCAAAGCCGAGATTTGATGGTGAGCGATGAGCAAAATCTGAGACGCTTCGTCACAAGACTTGAGATTTGAAGCTTTCGAAAACAAGCGACGATGAACCGATGGAGGGATCGTATCAATAAGCACCAAGATTCACAGCCCGCGTCGAAGCAGGATACGTAAAACGGTAAAAGCTGCTGAAGTAGGTTTGAAAAAGATTTTCACCTGTCCAAGCCGTTGTCGGGCATGTCCCTGACGCGGGGCGCGAACGAGCTCACGAAAACGGTGACGATCGTGAGACCCAAAAGCAGCAGAGAGGGCGGGCCGTCGCGAGCAATCAGCTGGTTCCACACGCTCCTGCCGGTGACAAGCTCGGCGATCACCTGTGAGCGCATACGAAGATTGTCAATCAGCAATTCAATAAGTGGAAGTCGACTAACTTTGATTTAGCACGAAATGATTTCGACTCTTAAACAGGCACAGGGCCTCGGGCGGAGTGATTCCGTCGAAAGTTATTCCGTGGCGCTGAAAACAGACAATCGAGGAACCGCCTGACGCACTTTTGCTGTCGAATCTCTCCTGTCACGTTGCCTTTTCCTGTGACTGACAGATCTCCGCTTTTGTCGGAACTGAATCCAGTTAATAACTACCTCTGTGAAAAGCTTTCCATTCCCATGACTGCAGGAAGTTGACTCCACACTCAAACCGAGAGTACAACAGTTTCTCTGTGAATGACATCTTTCACAAACATGACGAGGCAAGGTGAAGTCTCCGCGTTTTCAAATGGGCGGAGTCACAAGACTTTCTTACCGCTGAGGTAAAGCCAACCATGGCCGCCCGCCCATTGAGCGTCTCCTGCATGAAGCCGCCCTTGAAAACGGATGTGCCATCGCCAAAATTTCCGGGGCCCTTCACCAGGGGCTCTTCCTTGAAGCTGGGGTCAGACGTGTCGGCCTCCCGGGTCAAGTCGGGGCGGGGCAGGTTGTCGTCCTTTTGCACCGCGATCTGGCCCTCAGTGTTGCCCTCGGGCTTCAGAGGTGTCTCCTGCGCGGACATGAGGAGGAGGGACAGTCAGTGCAAGGCAGACTAGAACGCGCCGTAATGAGACTTCTAATCTTCCCGAAGACGTTAACGCAACGAAGTAAGACTTCTCTATATATGCAAAAGATCATGTGCGAGCACTAATGCGGAGTTCGACGTAGTGTGAAATCAGCTTTGTGAAGACACTAGAATCCCCCGCGAAAGCAAAATATTTAGGAGATTGGTTCAAAAAGGGAACCAGGAACAGCCAGGAAAGTAGCTTGCAGTTGACTCTTAATCGTATCGGCTTGTAAGTTCCTCTCTACAGGGATGAATCTGATCTCATGCAGGAGTTTTACAAGAAAACAGGAGGGATCATTCGGCTGAAGGAAATTCGGACTTTCAGTCGTGCCCAATGTAACATGTGGGAAGGGCGTTTCCCAAGACAACAAATGCAGACGTTTTCGAGGATGTGGTGTGCTCAGATCTAGATTGAAGATCGGCCAACAACTGTGGAGCTTAAGCCAGATCCATGCACCGCTTTCAATGCACAAGTTGCGGCCCATCGCAGCATGACCCTCGAGATCCCTTATGACCAGTTTAATACTTCCGTTTGCATGGGAACCCTGCGACAGTGCATGCTCTGCAGCCAACAATTGGCCCGACCGACCTTTTTTCAAAGCTGACCACGTGCAATTTGGAACGTTCCAGCCGACGCGTTTGGCATGTGAGTGCTTATACCACAACCCCATCAAGCTGTGCTCGGGCATATGCTGGCCAGTGGGAGCCCTGTAAGCTGAACACAGGCTGGACATAGGCCTTTCTCTGTTATGCTGCCAGGACCGCTTGCCGCCTTCCTGTGCTTATATTGCCTTGGTCACCCCTAAATGGGCAGTAGACATGCAGCCCGTGAAGAGATAAGCATACACAAAACTCTCGAAAACAACGGATTCTCAGACTACTAAATGCGATCTCCCAGACCACTTACCAGCTTGCTCCTGACAACATGCTGGGCCCTGCCTGACCGGCTTGCCAGAGGGATGGATTTCGGACCTGCGCTGAACTGCCCAAAGAAGGAGCTCCGCAGAGGCGCTTGCTCTGCGGAACAGCGACTGGAAACAGACGCCAGGCGCAAGGAGCTGACGCGCTGCGCAGCCAGAGTGGAGGACGCCATTGTTTGAGGGAATTATCAGCGTGAGACTAACAGCGGGGGCTTAAAAAGTGGATCGCGATTAGTGTTGGATTCTGTAATCAGGATTGCAGAAAGGCGATCCTTTACAATGCAGCCGCAAAGTTTTGAATGTGGGTGCGAAATCTGTGGTTAGCTAGAGTTGGAAAAAACCTGGTTAAGTAGCTGACCTAGATTCAAGACCTGTTTGTTACTCTAATCTGACACAAACCCATGTTTCAAACCTTGAAAAGGCGCCGTATTGGAGGCAATAACACTGCATGCAGCAAGCGCGCACCCTACTAGTAGATGGCAGTCTGGCATGGCCCTGCCAGTACTCCATAGCGGCCGGGACAGTAAGAAAGTACCTGCGATTCTTTGCATGTAGTTGAAGCAGGCCTCCAAATGTACGGAGCGAGAGTCGATGGCGAGGCCGCGTGCATGAAGGCCAGCTATCGGCTGCGAGTTCAGGACGTACCGGGGCAGATTTGCCAGCAACCTGGCCCCGGTGTGCTCCCGGCTGAATAAGAAGATGGAACGTCGACCACGTGCTCCACGTGATACGACATGCGGCAGTCTCCGATACGTCCACATTAGCTGAGAGGAGCAACCGAGAGACTCAGGAGTCAGAGCGCACTCTAAGGACGGAATTCCCGGCGACCGGGCCATACTTCAGCTAGAGAAAAGAAAGGCGGAATGCAATAAGATAGTGGACAAGGATAGCCTTCTTTTGAATACGCCCTAGACAAATACCGTAGGCCATAGGCTTTTCAGATACACAACTTTTTCAAGCCATGATATAAGTGAAAGATACGATCTCGAGAAGAAATACTTCGTCCTCATGACGTTCATCACTTTGAAGGAGGCAAACCCTCATGCAACCCGGCCGGGTCCTCAGAGTAGCATGCAAACGAAGCGCGCAGCTAGGTGGATTTTTCTGCAGTCGTCGTGCATGCAGTCTTAGCTCGAACACGTACGGGCAACGACGTGTTGCTTTTACTGAAAGCAACGGCCTGCTATACTTGGATCTCCGTACTGATTATTTGCATAGCATGACGGACAGTGATTGATTCGGATCTATGCAACAGCTAAAATTTAATGGACTATATATAGCTCTAGCCTTTGACGGCCGGACGAAGATTCCATGATTGTCATGGCTTCTTCATAATTCTTGGACGGTGAGCTTTGCAATCGTCCACCAGGGCCTGCCGTATGAGATTCGTATGCCTTAAAACCGGATGGATCTTGCGGTTCCATATCGTGCACTTCCAACATATATTCGGCAGAAATGGGTCGCACCAACTTGAAGTAGTATGCTATTCGGACGACTCTCATTGAACGTCTTTGGATTGACGAAGCTTATATAAATGCACAGCCTTCTTACTCAAGCGGAGCTATAGATCGATGGCCTGAGCGTGTTGTATTCACGTTGAATTGGAGAGATACACCTATGAATGCAGATCAGATCGCGAAAAAGAAGGAGAAGAAGAAGAAGAAACAACCAAACGATCAAGGATGTATACCCGGCTGCTCAGTTTGATGTACTGATCAACAATCTGCTCAAAAGATCACAACCGGTACACAAGGTTACGTTGACAAAGCTTCTGCTGCTACCTCACGTCCACAACAACCAAGCTCTAACTTATATAGGTAAAAGCCAATCGTGTCACACTAATATAACTTGAGCTCTCAAAACTCTGTTCTCGGTTCTGCTTACGAGGTCAAAACCTTGTGTCTTATATCATAGGTACTATGATGTGGTATTCTACATAATATGTACTAACGTATTGTATTATATAGGTAATGAAAAACTCCAATCAACAGTATGATTAAAATGCGTCAATGGAAGCCAGTCGGCTGGTGCACACGTGCGCCGTCTCCTCCCAAGAGTGGACTCCTTATGTATATATACTCCTACTCACCAAACACACTAACCTTATTCTTAGTCTGCTCAAAACAAAAAACTGCCAGAATTTGTCAGATGCAGCAGCAGGTTGGTAGAAAGGTTGAATTAAAAGCGCAGACACGCCGGGGTGCCGACCGTCAAACGCTGCCGGGTGCCTTGATGGGCCAGTACTTGCCAAAGAACGTGATGAACGCCTGCGGCAGAGAAATCCGCATCAAAATTGGACTGAACGAACCGACGAGCAGAAACCGCCTGCTAAGTGCATGGGAAGTGCGGCTGTGACTGGGACTTTCACTGAATGGCAGAGATCCCTGATTCTTTACCTCACTCGAGCGAAAGGCGAGTGTTGAAAGAATCTCAGCACAACGGAATGCTTTCTGAATTAGTGTCGCCGCCAAAAAGCAGTCATCAGTAAGCACTGATCTAGTCGGCAGAGGGATTCCAAGTCGAGTTGCTTATCGATCTCATTTTGATGTAAGTGAACAGCAGCAGAGTTCCAAGAATGTTCACTAGTGAAGGCTCCTCAGAACCTGGCAGCTGACCACGTGAAAGGGGGACGAGGCTTCAAAACAGGCGGTCCTCGCAAAAGAAGAGTGACAAGAGCAGGAATCTGTTAGGCCTGAACAAGCCGAGCCACAGTAACTCCCAATGCACTTCCGGCAGATGTTGCCACCTTACCGAGGGTTGGCTTGACCCGAGTTCTCATACGAACCCGGTTGGACGTTGCAATATGACGCAATCGACTTCGCCAGTCACGTTTAAAGAATGGCCAAGAGAAAGGCTACGACAAGAAAAGAAGAGAAGCGCCCTCACCTCCACCAGGTTCCCCCCCATGAACACCACGAAGTAGTAGAACATGAAGTAGTACAGCCCGTCCTTGGGCCCGCTCAGCACCTGCTGCGCGCCGCCGTTGGCGAAGAAGATTGCGTCCAGGATAAGCAGCGGCACGATCTTGAGCTTGTGCACGTTGTGCAGCTGGCGCGTGAAGTAGTGCGTCGCCTGCTCCCAGACCGCCTCGGGCAGCGTCAGCTTGGCGAGCAGCACGAACTTCCAGCGGGGGTCGTTCCAGTAGTACAGCGTCGGCAGCAGCAGGATGATCGTGTTGATTGTGTGCCCGATGGTCCTGTGCGGAGGGAGGTCGACGTCAGGGACGAGGTTTCCGCAAACTTGTGATGGAAATCGTCAAACGATGCTCTGGTTCTATGAGCATTGCACACCTTTGCAGCGCTGCTGCGCCAGACAGGGGTAAAAATTGGGCGAATTTGATCGACATTGGATCTGGCGGTCTTACAGAAGGGCTCAAGGGGTTTTTTTGTGGGGTGACGGCTCGATTCAGTGGTTCTACTTGCGAGCCCGGGAGAGGCAACATGCAGAATTGTCTTTCTGGGGCTTCTTTGCCTTGATCCCTTGAATCTTTCAATCATCCTCAGCGTCTGCTCGGACATTGAACCGCATTGAACTTGCTTGGTTCGGACAATCGAGCAAGCATGCAAGTTTCCTTCCGCTAAGTTCAACCTGCTTGTCTCTCTTGTGAGCAGAGCCTCCTGTAACACGGTGCGCCCAGTGTCCTGCCTTTGTTAACATGAAGCAATGCGCCGCTGCGTATGCTACTACCCTATTTGAAAAGTTCGGAACACTCAGATGGAATCCCATGGCCTAAGAAACTTCTCATTGAGCCATGGCAATCATAGTTGTCTTAACGGGTATGCAGGAATAGCAAAGGCCTCGCCTTTGGCATTGCGAGCTTTGGGAAGTACTCAGAGGGCCCTGACTTGGAGTGAAAACGTCCAAGGAGCGGTATCCGTACTTCGTATGGTAGAATTTGTGATCGACCCAAGCGCAATGGGTTCCTTCCAGGAGCACCACTTGCAAGCAAGCTTCCCCAGTGACTTGAAGATTCTCAAGACAATCGTCCCTCGCACCAAGTTTTTGTTATAGCTTGGCAAGAAGGACTTCTGAATCTGAACGTGCTCATGAACAAAAGAATGTTATAGCTTGGCAAGAAGGACTTCTGAATCTGAACTTGCTCATGAACAAACGAATACAGGCATATGTGTGCAAACCTTACAATTGACTGACAGGGCAAAACCCTATGCTGCAAAGCCTCCCAGGATTGTCCTTTTACCGATGTATCATTGATGATCCTGATTTGAGGCCCAAATGCAGCACAAGGAACTTTTTGTTACCTTGTGATCTGCATGTTTGGAGTTTTGGAGTTGAAGCCCAAGGCTGACTGCCCTGGCTAGTGGATGAGAGCAAAGCACAGAATCTTGCCTGTGGAAGTCGATGCTGGTGAAGGTTACGTCGTACATTGGGGAGGTGTTGGCAAAGTTGGGGCCAGGAGCCGTGGGAAGGCCAAACGTGTGCTGCACCAGCGTCTTATCATTCTGGTCCTGCAACAACAGAAGAAATAAGTGTGGCTTGACACGTGCATTGAGCAATGTGAGTCCAACTATCTGGGTCCCACTTTCTGAAAACCCCAACCGTGGCGATGATCTGAGGTTGCTTCGTGTTGTTTTACCAAGCAACCAGGCAATGTGGGACACATCACACTTAAATGTTGAAGGTGACCGATTAGTGCATATGCTATTGCAGTGTAACACACTATGTGTGGACAAATTCCACATAAATCAAGTCAAGTGAAGTCAAGATCCTTACAACTTCTATCAGAAGTTACTCAGCGCACTTTGTTGGTATGCAAGGAAAGAAGTAATGTCCTTACACTAGTCACTGAAGCTCCCACGCTAGTACTGGCCTGAGCCTTTGTCCTTTGCATTGGTCCAGTTGACGCCATTCTCCTGTCTACTCCGTTGCCAACCTTCTGCAGAAAAGAGAAGGGCATTGAGGGTCGTACGGAATCACAGTGGATCAGGCGACACAAAGAGGCCCCAAGGAAGCCTTCTCAAAGCAGCAATTGTTGATCTTCCAGGGAAAGTAGGAGTCTTGGTCACAAGTAGCTTAAGCTATGATATTATGGGTCATGTGAATGAGAGCTGAAAGGGCAGAGTTTCAATGCTGCATGTCAAGAGAAGACTGGCCTTTTTATGCATTCCAACATCAACTGAAGTAACTCCTTAAATCAGAATGTTCATGGGACCCCAATATTGGAAGAGTAAATTCCTATGTCAGAGTGCCAAGAGGCGCGGTAATCAAGCGCACAAGCACTTAGGAAAATCCTTACTCGAACAATCTTTTCTTTCCGTCGGTCAAGAAGTGGATACAAAAGACGCAGCAAATGCCCAGGCCCAAATTCTCTGGTGACTGCAATTTCCTTTTGCTTCAAGTATCTTCAGCGACAATTGTCCCTTGCTTCACAAATGCTACATAAAAAAAGGCGGGTTTTTGCGAAGCATCATTTTAAAAAATATATGTGCAAGCTTCTCTAAAGTTGCTCCTTAGTAGTACAGAGGGAGGTCACATTTCCAACATTATTGCCCTATAAGAGCAGTGCACTTGGACACCAGCTCAGCAGCTCAGCAGCTCCTTTTCTTGCGAGTTCTTACTAGAGCTAACACACAATCAAAAAAGAAAAGCCCTTGGTTTGCCTCATGGTCTCCAATTGAGGGAAGGGAGTTCGTTACAGCAAGGTAGATTGGGGGGCCTAGCACAGGCTGCGCCGATCGAACAAAGAGCTGTTGCCAAGAGGTGCAGAGCAAGGCGAAATGATGCTCAACTAGGGATTTGTTGCTCCATATGAAAAGTGCTGGCATTGGCGAGATTGCTTACATTGGAGCGCTGACTTACTTGACTGGTGAAAATGCTGGGTTGGCTGAGGCTGTGCCTTTGGCCGGCAAGATGGGTTCCTTGGAAGGTTGAGGAGTGCAACCACGCGTGACACCGGAGAACCCTCTGTTCACAGGTTAGCTCAGAGGTTTGCTTTAAAGTGAGAGTACCACGGGGAAAAGTATGCAACTGAGCAAGAATCGAAAGGGCCATAAGCTTGGCGGACAAGATTGCCAATGTGAAGATGCCTGCGGAGAGTCCACAGAATTTGCTTTTGACAGCAATGCGAAAGACGAAGTTCTCTAAGGTACAAGAACACGACTTTTCTGCAAATCAGATTTCCAGCAGGAAAAGGTGGAGGCCCGGGCCCTGGGCCATTGATAGGCTTCAGCGCAGCCCTGGTACAGTGTATCCTACTGGTCAGAAAGAATTTTGAGAGAAGCTCAGAAGTGAGCAGGAAGGGCTCGGAAGAAACACCATCGATGGTTCCGAAGTTCCTGAATTGATGACAGTCCGAGACCCTTCACATGCCGCTTCGACGATAAGCACCTTCAGGCTTCTTGGGAAGTTTGGCCCACGAGCAGGATACCGTATCGTCGAAGGGCTCGCCCCGTATCGACAGTGAGGGGCATCGGCCATCGGGCCGTTTACGGTTTGACCAATCAACGCTCGGGCGTTGGGATCCCCATGCAATGATTGGCGCATTGACTGGACATCGGCAATAATTCCATTATGGGACTTCGATTCCCGTCTCGACGGTGCGATATGCTCTGAAGCTGCATCGACGGTCAGAATCGCCTACTTATCGAAAGTCAAGAGTCAATCATGGAAAATTTGGTCAACTCAATATTTGGCGCCCAGACTTGGACTAACGGGCGCTTGAACTAAGATAGGCGCCCGGGAGACGGGTGGGGTTGGTTTGGTTTTTAGGGTGGGTTCGGGTACGGAGCGCGTAAATGTTTGGGTTAGGTCTCCTTGTCTGTGTGCCCGGGGGACTCCGATCTTAGTTCAACCGACCGTCTCTTAGTAGTTCAAGCGAACGTCGCCAGGGAGTAGGCCACAGTTCAAATCCATCCTAGTTGCAGAGCCCATTTTGCCAGGCAACCGTCTTCGCAGCATGGCAAGTTTCTTTTCGTAGCTAGGCTTCAAGTTGAAGTTGCATGTCTCGAACAACGATTATAAGTATCCTGTCTGGCATGAACCTCCGTCCGCTGGCCTGGTTAAGTAATTTTTGGCGTACCGGGCGCAGTCCGGGCATCCAACGGTGAAATCGTTCTATTTTCTAAGATCGGACGGTACGCCGATTGCCTTTGCTGAACAGAAGGCTGAGTCCATCCCCGCCTAAAGGTCGCAGAAAGGAGGGACAGCGCCCGAAAGTGGTGAAGTCCAAAATTGTTATTTTGCCCAGCACCTCAGACTGGCCGCCATGGCTGCCGACATGGCTGAAATGAGCTGGGAGCAGCACCCATGACCAAAATTTCTCAAACCCAACGGCAACCTGAAGCTATGTGCAACCTATAAATTGAATACCAGCTGCTTTCAAAGGTAAATTTGATGCACATTCTCCCCCCAAATCCAAAATGTGCCTTTCAACCCTAAAAGGAGCCTCGGAGGCGCAATGGAGGTTTTGTTGAAAGTCGCCGGGGCAACTATACATCAAATTTTGCAATCTCAACGGCAAGACTGCTCTACAAAAAGCAATCCTAGCTTGCTGAAATGCAAAGTTTGTGGAGAAAGACCTTCTACTCTCCCCCCACAGCCCGTCCCTGCCTCCTCAAGCCCTGAGCACAAGGCAGCCATTGCGGCAGTCTTCTGCTTCAAATTACTGGCTGTAGGTGTTCCGGTTTAGGCCTTGACTTCCGGGACTTTGGTTTTACTGAGCACTTTGTCAGTCTTGGGCAACCGCTGAAAGTGCCCGGGGATTCAGCGGAAGTGACCGTCGATGTCACTTCCTCTGGTTCTGAACCGTCCGATGCACATATTTATCTGAACATTCTAGGGGACAAGAAGTTTATGCCAGACAGGAGTATAGGTTATCCCACGAGTGCGAGAGAATATCGAAGTTTCGCGTCGAACGAGAGCGGATATTCCACGAGGGCCTCCGAGGCCCGAGTGGAATATGAAGCTCGAGGGATAATAATCATTATTACCTAGCAAAGCGCTTCGACTTTGCTTCGACTCCGAGAGCGCTTCTTCAAATTCAGCGAGAGGCGGGCAAGAGGCCCAAATCATTGAGCCAAGGGAGGCCTGTTAGCCGTGCTGGTGTAGGGGCTGAGGGCTTCTTTTGCCAATCCATTCGTTGGTACGCATTGCTGGTTCGTATGAGCAACCATGGCTCAAAAGATGACCGAAGAGCGGTATGCCGAAATCGAGCTGCTGCAGCGGTACAGGAGGGACCGCCGTTTGCTCCTCGAGTATCTTTGCGAGGCCTCCAGTCTCAAGAAGGTTGTGATGCCGCTGGGGGCTGTGACTCTGGCGGACGTTGATTTGGACAATGTTAGCGTGAATTACGTTCTGGAGGCCTGCAAGTCCCGGGGCACCCTGGACCTTACAGAAGCAGTCAAGCAGCATTTCAAGGAGCTGTCCATGGCGCCGAGCTTTGGGGCTGGAGATAGTGAGATTTTCCTGCTCGCCACCAACCCCAAGCACTCAGGAGGGCCCCCCTCGAGACCTGCCCCAGAAAAGCCTGGGCCGTCTTATGCTCATCTGGGAGGAGCGGCCTCACGCTCAGTTCCTGGAACTCCATCGAGGTCCTCCTCGTTGAAAGGAAAGGCGTCCCCACTGCGGCCACTCACTCCTGCAGAGGCTTACGAGGACGGCGTGGAAGAGTTTGATGACCTGGACGATGAGCCGCTTGCTAAGAAGCAATTTGCAGATAACAAGGAGCTAGTGCTCCCTCTGCCAGCATTTGAAACGGGGTTAAGCGACGATGACATTCGGGAGACGGCTTATGAGGTAGGGATGTGACCGGTTTCCTGCATTGATTGAAGAGAGCAGATAGCGCACATGGAGTAGCGTTTTACCTGGTGGCAGCATCTGTTCAGCTTTTTGTGGTTGATTATCTGAGCCATTCAATCAATGTCATACAGTGCGCCACGCTCCAATTGAAGATGCCTCCTTGTATTTGAAGGTAGGCTCTATAACAATAATAAGCGTGGGCTCTACTTGTCCTTTTGCTCTTGACTTGGAGATAGATCACGCGCTTTAAAGTACCAATTCTAGAGCGAGTCAATTTTCGGGGGTAAGATCAGGGTGTCAGGTTTTCCCTTAAATGTTGCAGGTGCTTCTTACTGCGGTTGGCGATACTGGAGCGTTGCAGCCACCCCCCAAGGTGGTGGAGGAGAAGAAGAAGAAGACGCTCCTGAGGCGTAATACATCAAAGAACAGGAGCAAAACGGCAGTGCCAGAGCCGGTGCAGGCTCATGGCCTCACCGGTTTGCTTGAGATAATTCGGGGACAGATGGAGGTGAGTTCACCGTCGCTTTACTTTCAGCAATCACGCTGCGCGGATTGCAACCTTATAGTACTGATTCAATCTTCTCCCCTTTCATTGCACCAACCAACATGCTTCAATCAGATGCGCCAACACACCAACCAACATCCTTCAATTGGACATGCTGTTACACAAACCAACATTCTTCAATGAGATGTGGCTGGCTTCCTTTGGATGGATTCATAGGTACATACCAGGATTGGATGCTACGTTCTATCTTCCAGAACGGTTCATGTTTGAGCTTTACCTGCAGGAGCAGAGACATTTTTGGAGTGCCCCAACAAATGGTGATTAGGCCAGTTAACCACTCCAGATTGACCAAGAATTTGGTCGAGATGCTGGTCATCTATTCATGTGCAAGCTTCTGACTGAGGGAACCTCCTCTGATATCCAGATTGCGGACAATGCGGATCGCCGCACCAAAGACGCCCTCCTGAGAGCGGCAGCTGATAGGCAGGGGCGCCGCATCAACACCCTGCTAGTTCCTCTGGAGCTGCTCGCCAATGTGCCCCCATCAGAGTTTGCAAGCAAGCGGGATTACATGCGGTGGGAGAAGCGACAGGTGTGGTTTCAAATACTGCCTTGTCAAGAACTGACCTTATTTCCGGAACTGATGCTTTGATTAGAGATGACCCTTCTCTTTCGACAGTCAGGGCTAACCCTGGTGGTCCCAGGGCTCTAGATAGGTCTGGAGTCACAGAGGTATACGTGATTCTGTAACCTCCCTTCAGACACAGGGGTCCAGATCCATCTAAGCAAAACGCCTCAATGGAGGCCTTTCTGTAAGTGATGGTGTCATATTTCACATCGTTTATACCAGGTAACCAGGTATTAAGAAGGGACACAAGTGGCGCCACCAATCTTACAAAAGGCAACTGGTCATCTGCTCTCAAATATCATCCTTGCCATTCTTGAACGTCATTAGACGATCAATGAGTCTGTTGCAGCCAGATCGTAGAGAACGGAAGCCGCATGCGTCCTTGACCACTCAAAAACCTCACAACTATCAAAACCGAGAGCTGAGAACATCTGGTGTGCAGCTGAACATCTTGGTCGAGGGCCTGGTGAACCAGCCTGCGGTCAAACTGAGCCCCTCCAACGAGCAGCTTGGAGTCAAGCTCAGACAGATTGTGGCCCGTGTAGAGGAGGCTCAGGTACGCCACCCTCCTTGCTCAAAGACTCCACTTTTGCTTCAACTGAAGAAGGGCCAACACAGATCTGCCATCCCAACCTTGTCGCCCCAACTGGAAACCTGCAAGCGGTCCCTTCCTCCGTCGTGTCTGCAGAGACATGCGCACCAATTGGGGGCCAATGTTGTAGGTTGTAAGAAATGTCTCCGCCACCGTGCTGCACAGCAGCAACAAAAGATCCCCAGCAGAACACAGACCTAGTCGTATCATCAAGGAAATTCCCCATGAAAGCTCAAATTCCATTTTGGAATTCTTTGGATAGATTCAAAGTCCTGATGTCAACCTGAGCCGCTTCTTCTTCCTCCCCTCTCTAGATGCTGCCGGGCCCCAATGGCCCGAGCCAGCACATGGAGGCGCTGCGCGACCTGCGCGCGGTGGCTACGGCCCTGGCGGAGCGCAGCAACCGCGGCGAGAGCAGCGATGAGGTCATCCACTGGGCGGATGGGTACCCGCTGAGCGTGCGCCTGTATGAGGCGCTGCTGTTTAACATCTTCGACATGTTCGACCCCTCCCAGCTCATCGAGGTGCGTTCCGCATATTCAACACCTGATATCCAGAGGAAGGAGGAAACTGTATCAGTACTTGCCGCTTATCTGGTCTCAGCCGTGGGCAATCCCCAGCTAGCTTCCCTCCATGTCTTGGGTGAGCTAACTTTGACAATTTACGATTCTGGGAGGCTGCTACGCTGAAAAATTGAGGGGTTTTCGAGGCTCTGGTCCGGCCCGTCCTTGAGTGGCCCGTACTTGTGTTGATCGTTACGCTCAGCCCCTGGAACGCATGTTAAGCCCCTCTGCAGTGCAATCGTCTCAGTGGCAAAGTTCGTCTCAACACGGGAGTCAAACTCAGCTGGATCTGACTCCTGTAGGCTTCACACAGAATGCATCAGGAACGCAGAATATCCAATAATCTCCTTTACCAGCTTCAAGGTTTCTTTTGCAGGAGATCGACGAGGTGCTGGAGCTGCTGCAGTCGACGTGGCGCATCCTGGGGGTGACACGTGCAGTGCACGACGTGTGCCTGGCGTGGGTGCTCTTCAAGCAGTTTGTGGTCACCGGCAACTCGGACCTGCTGAGCACGGTCGCCAGCCACCTCAAGAAGATGGTCAGCGATGGCGGGCAGAGCGCGCAGGTAACGCCGTTCAAACTCTTCTAAGTATTGATTGGACAGTTTTGAAGATGCAAGTTTCATTCCTCCAACCCGGACGTGAGTATTGTCCCAGTCCGAGCCGGTCTTCTTGCTGCTCCGTTCCTTGTGGATCTGCCAATCTGGAGGTTGCTACTTCTCATTATACAGGGCCAGTTCGGCAAACCATAAGGGGCTGTCGAGGAATGTTTCCAAGGTAGTCAGAAGCATACTTTCAACTAGTAAAGAGTGACAACCGTAATCAGCCTCCTCGTTCCTGTCACTGAGAAGCCCCTCGGCTAAAGCGCGACCAGTCCTCTGCTAAGCCCATCATCAAACAGCGTCGGGCAACAGCAAGCCTTGAAAAACCTGTTATAAATTGGAAAGCTGAAAATACATGTTAATACATGTTGATAAGTTGGAAATCCTGATTTTTTCTGTCCACTGTTGCAGGAGCGAGCGTACATGCAGCTGATGCGGACGGTCTCCGGGGAGGGGGGCAAGAGCTACTCGTACGTCCAGTCTGTCCTGGACCCCATCAAGCAGTGGGCCGACCGCCGCCTCAACGACTACCAGAGGGAGTTCCCCAACGGAGCGTCGGGCGTCATGGAGAGCCTCCTCAGCGTGGCGATGGTCTCGGGACGGCTGTTGGCGGACGAGACGGAGACGCCGCAGGTGAGGTGTTTTCAGGATCGTTCTTGCTGGCTGCTTTTCCTCCGTGTCATGCAGGCTTTGTCAGGATGCAAGGGAGGAAACGGAGTGAAGGCATTATCTTACGGAGGAGGGTTGCATCGACGAATTTTGACAGCTCTCCATCGTCTTTCCTTCCGTTCCAAGTCGAAATCGAGAGACATCAAAACAAACGAGAAGAATAAAAGAGACCAGAGAAATAAAAATCAGCCAGACATACTGCGCGCAATGATTGCAACAGCTGTTCCGGAGTACTTTTTCTTCCTGCATCTTGTCTGGTGACCGCACAGCACCCCCGACGACGACTCTGCCGCGAGTGATGGCGTGTGTCCTCACTATCTTACAGGGCTCGTTCATAAGCGCTGGGCGGTCGTCCGCAGCCGGGGAGCGGGCGGCTATGGTGAAGCAGGCGGAGGGCTATGTACGGTCGTCCCTGAGGGCAGCGTACTTGCGAGCGGTGCGAGACGTGGAAGGGCAGCCGTCGGATGACAAGCCGACCGTGGCAGTTCTGGCAAGGTACGAAGCAGCCAGCTACAAGTGCGCTGAGACTATCCGCGATGGCACTGCAGAATTGGGCGGTGGTTTTTGAGGGAAGCAGTAGAAATTGCTGGTTGACCTTTCTTTAGGGAAACCACTCGGCAAGGATTAGCAGATCTGGGAGCTTGTCAACAACTCTGTTCAGCAGGGAGAGTCTGCTTAGAATCACAGCTCAAACCTTTCGGAGCTAGTGCGCTTGAGCCAGCAGGATCACTTTCTGCTTTGCCTGAGACGTTGAGCACGAGGGCGATCTTGGTTGATAGTTGTCCACGGGCTCAAAGCTCTCCCGGGGGAAAGAGTTGTCACTCTCGTTGCTCGCTCCGTTCAGGCTGGTGCGCGAGATCGCCAAGGAGGAGGCGTCCAACTACTCGCCGGTGCTCGTGCGGTGGAACGTGAACGCCAAGGTGGTGGCGGCCGCGACGCTGCACGAGCTGTACCGCGGCGACCTCAAGCCGTTCCTCGACGGCGTCACGCAGCTCTCGGATGACGTCACGGCCGTGCTGCCGGTCGCCGAGGCGCTCGAGGCGTTCCTCATGGACATGACGGCGGGTAAGGAGCGGCGGGGTTGCTTGCATATTTTTAGGAGGTTTGAAACAACTTGCTCCTGTAAATCAGTCGTTTCTCTTGGTCTGTGGGGTTTACTCAGACACGCTTGTGTTTCATCTGCGTTATAAAGTGCAATCCCAGTGTTTTGCATTTTGATCCTTTAGGGCGACACATTGTGGACTACGGAAGCCTGTATTAAGTAAGCTAATACTCAAAACATCCGCTCTCTACAGGCGCCGACCAGACCGACGAGGGCGCCGCGATCCTGGAGAGCATGCAGCCGTTCGGCGTGAACGACATGTCCGCCACCCTGATCGGCCGCTGGGTGAACCACCAGCTGACGGGCCTCGGCCAGATGGTCGACCGCTCGATCGCCGCCGAGCAATGGGAGTCGCTCTCGCAGACGCAGCGATACGCGCCGTCCGTCGTGGAGCTGTTCCGGTGGGTCGGCCGTCTCAGCTCGTTCAGGCTCTCGAACGGCCGAGGTTTAGCATTGACATTGGGCACACTGCAAGGTGTGGCCGCCGTTTCAAAGGCGTGAACGGGCGATACATCTTCGCGGCATTGCTGGGTGTCAGCTTGCAAGCCAGTGCAAAAGTCGCCTTCTTTGTTTCTGTGCTTGCGAGTCTCTCCATGCCAGCATGCAGATCCTCACGAGTATTTGAGCGCTATCATTTGAGGAAACAGGACATGCGCGTTCTGCACGCCATCATGTATGCCCCCATGAGTACTTTGACCGTTTTCATTGCAAGAGAGTGGAAGGACTTTTGCTGATTAGATGGTTGTACTCTGAGAGTCACCCCACTAGGAATCCATCACCCCTTCTGAAAGTCCTGGCAGAAGCAATCAAGCACCAAGTGTCTGAACACTTCTGACATGATATCCCCGACCGTGTCTGACTGATATCCCCGACCGTGCAGGATAATCGAGGTGACGCTGGACCAGTTCTACGCCATGAAGCTGCCGATGCGGTCGTCCCTGCTGCGCGGCCTCACCGTCGGCTTCGACAGCGCGCTCCAGCAGTACATCACCAAGCTGCTCGGACAGACGGGCGACCGAGAGGACCTCATCCCGCCTGCGCCGGCGCTGACGCGCTACAAGAAGGACGTCGTCACCAAGGTACGTCAGCACGCTTTCTGTTGCTGCAAACTGCTCCTCAAACAAGGTCAAGTCTGGGCTTGGAGTTATGGTTGAAAAGCTACCATTTGCATGGGAAAGTAAGGAGCATTGGCGTGTATCTTGTTGCGTATTTCGAGAAGGCGGTACCAGTGAAGGGGCTCTTAGGCAACACACAATTGCAAGGATCGACAAGGCCCAGTTAGGTGCTGCTCCATTCCGTTGAACTAACAATGGGGCGTTCTTTCAAGCCAACTTTTTGTTCGCTCCATCCGATTGTTGACACCTATCCTTTGCTTTTGGGCCCCGAGTAAAGCTCGAAGCCGCTGTTCCCGCAGGTAAAGCACAGACGCACTTTGATGGGGCTTACAGGCCGTGTCCTTTTTTCATTCTAAAATCTTACCCTGTCCGACAACGCATCAAGATATTCGCTTGCTTAGATGGGTCGTGATACATAGGCGAACCTCCGCTCCGTCCTCTCCTGCAGGCAGAGAAGGACGCGCTGGCCAGCAGCCTGAAGAAGCGGGACCCGCGGATGCCGGACGAGGCGCGAGAGGCGCAGATCGCGGGGCTGACGGTCACGACGCTGGGCGTGCGGCTGAACACGCTGCACTTCATCCTGAGCCAGCTGGAGAGCCTCGAGAACAGCATCCGCCAGCGGTGGGCCATGAAGAACCCGCACGAGCCGCTCTCGCGAGGGTGAGGCCACGTGGCAGTTCCTGATTGGTTACGCGTCTGCAAGAAGCAGTGCTTTGTGCTTTCCGCCCGTGTGCTTGGAATTATTTTGGCTTTAATCATCGGTCTTCTAGAGGAGAGGTATGCTTTATCTTATGTCCTGCAGGACTAGATGCAGAATAAACACTTTTGAGGTTGATTGCTCTCTTAAGTCCCCAACAAAAAGCTGACTTCTCACCACCGACGTGTTTCAAGGGACCTCACCAACCTTACCGCTTTGTCGCAACCCGAGCAGGCAGGAGAGGGTCAGCGAGGAGCCCTTGACAAGTTGTTTCACCCGTAAACGAGCAGGTTACACGATTTTCAACGAGCTGACGAAGCTGTGCAGCGCTCTTGAGGTCCATCGCATCGCTTTTTCACCACAACTACTGTGCTTTCCACGAAAAGCCCACACGACAATATTGAACTTTAAAAACGCAAATCAAACGTGTCAGCAAATCCTGCCCTCGTTTGCGCAGCCCGAGCCGCAGGGGGAGCGGCTCGGAGGAGCCCCGCAAGTCGCCGCGCCCGCGCTCCATCTCCACGGGCTCGAACCTGGAGGACATGCACGGCGAGTTTTTCGCGGGGACCAAAAAGGCGGCGACGGCGGCGATCGAGCGGCTGGCCGACTTTCTGGGCACCAAGGTCGTGTTCTGGGACCTGCGCGGGAAGTTCGTAGATGCGCTGTACAAGACGAGCGTGGCGGACTGCCGCATGGATAAGATCGTGACGGAGCTGGACGCGGTGCTCTCGGAGCTGTGCGAGGTGGGCGGGGAAGACTTTTTGTCGGAATGTTCCTTCCCTTGGGAAGGGTTTTCGCTTGTTAGGGTACATATTAGGGTTTAGTTATGGACAAGATCTTGACGGAGTGCTGCCGGAGCTGTGCGTGGTGAGCGGGGAAGACTTGTTGGTATTCTCCTTCCCTTGGGAAGGGATTCGCTTGTAAGGGTACAAGAGCTTTATTGAACTGGGGTTTGGTGATGGATAAGATCGTGACGGAGTTGGACGCGGTGCTGTCGGGGCTGTGCGAGGTGGGCGGGGAAGACTTCTGTTGGAATTTCCCTTAGCTTGGGAAGAATTTTCGCTTGTCAGAGTACGAGAGCCTGGGAATGTTAGGGTTTGGTAATGGACAAGATCGTGACGGAGTTGGACGCAGTGCTCTCGGAGCTGTGCGAGATAAGCGGGAAAACATCTTTGAAAACTTTGTTGAATGCTTCCTTTTAATTGAAACTGTTCTCCCGTGACGTTCAGACTGTATAGTTTCGGCGTGGAAAGCACAGGTGGCCAAGAATCGAAAGTGCCAGAAAAGACGTTTTAGGCAAAGGCTTGTCCGTTCGGTGTGCAAATTGTTGAGACGCCTTGAAGTTGTTGAGATCCTTCTGACGAGCGGTCGGTTCGACACTCCTGTTGCACAGCCTGCTTTCTGCTCTCCCCGCCCACTCTAACAAGCCCGCAGCGACTCAAGTTTTGACTCGTGGCAGTCTCTGCTTCTGCAGGTCATTGCAGAGCCGCTGCGAGATCGTGCCGTGCTGAGCTTGCTGCAAGCTTCGCTGGAGGGGCTTCAGAGAGTGCTTCTGGACGGCGGGCCCCTGCGCGCGTTCTCAGCCGCTGATGGGGAGTTGCTGGAAGAGGATCTGACGGTCCTAAAGGTGCGAAGACTCTCGTCATTCAGCATGCTTCGTTTGTCGACCATAACTCTCCGATGCTTTGCTTACACACAAAAATGTGGCCGGTGATGTGTGGAGTGTGCATGGTGTCCGTACGGAAGCCTCGCTAAAATTGCTATTCGCCATTCCTGCACACGCACTACTTCTACCCTCTTCTTCCTTCAATGCGGTGTTTTGGGATCGCGGAGGGTGGCGCATGAAGAACTCGCCCGATCAAAAGAACGAAATCAATCGAACACTTCCAAACCTGCTCTTTTTTTGATGAAGAACGCTCAGACTGCTAACGATCTCTCAATTGACGCATGCAGGACTTCTTTATTGCGGACGGCGATGGGTTGCCACGGACCGTTGTAGAAAACTCCGCCGCAAAGACGGCGCAGATTCTGCACCTGTTTGAGTTGCCGACGGACCAGCTCACCGAAAACTTCCAGTCGGCGAGTCGAGAGATGGCCGGCAGCAACGGCACGGCGCATTCGGGCACTGGTCGGAGCGCGACGGACGCTGACACGCTGTTGCGAGTGCTATGTCATCGTGCCGATCGAGACGCGTCCAAGTTCCTGAAAAAGAGCTACAAGCTGCCCAAGACGGAGAGTCGATAGAAAGAGCTCTAGAAAGCCGCGCGTCGCGTTTGGCCGTTGTATCTTATGCAAAAAGTTCTGTCGTTGAGAGCACTTTTGTCAGTGCATGAGTTGTAATAGTCCTCCTTATGTAAGATCTTGAAGTCCAGAAGTTACACACTAACGAGGTAACTGTCGTTGCTCACAAGGTCAGACACTCTGCCTGATTCTGAACCTGTCTTAGTAGCTTGGCAAAAGTAGGAAAGTGTTTACGATAAGTGGTGGATAAATGTAGCCTAGCCTCTGTGACGCACATGTTGTGTCATGCTAACACTTTTCCTCTGTTGCATATCTGGTCCGCAGCAGCCCCAGAAAGAGAGTAAGCGTGTGCTCAGGATTTTGAAGACAGGTTGCATGACATCTATACGGGCTGTTAGCCGATCAGTCTAGCTCAATGTACACCCCTGACGTCAAGTTCCGAATTGTATCGAGCATTTGATTATCATAAAGTCAACCCTACGCCAGGCCCTTTCACAACGGGCCATGCATGCACCGTACACATGATTGATCACATCGATGTCGTATAGAGGCAGTTACTAAGTTACTTACAACAGCTTTGATGTGCGCATCATGGGTGACGGTCGATCGAGCTGCGACGATCGGGTATGAGCTCCAACGCGGAGAAATATTTCGTCGCCCGCTCCTGATCGGTTCCCTAAATGTCGACCATGATTCTGCATGGCATCCCTGCCCAGATGGCCTGTTCGGGCAGCCGCACGCGCATGCTATTCAGAGAAATGTATAGATCATGCAAAGATCATGCATGGCGCACGCGTCCGGTCGGATCCAAGACTTTTGCATGAAGTACGTGATGATTGAGCTGCGTCCGGCATGCCATGTGATGCATAAAAGCATATGCAGTGCATAACGCATATGCGAATGCTTCAAAGCTCGGCGTGCAATTACCGAGAAGCTGGTTGACACTAGATATTTCAAATCACATAGAGCCGGTCGGCCGCGCTGTGCTGTGTATGTAGATTGAGTGACACCAAGCTAGCTAGCCTTGCTTTACACATTCTTCTGATATCGCGAGAGTTTAAAAAGCCTAATATAGATGGTGCGCTAGCTGGGTGTCACTGGAAATACCCACAAGGGAATCAAGAGTTTTAAGCCGTAATAATCTTATGTTTGAGCTCTAATTCTCCGACTGTTCTCACAAGCTTTGAAATATTCGCACCATTTGAATCCATGCCAGGCCCCCTGGAGTTCAATCTACCCAACCATTGTTCAAGCAAAGCAAAGCCTCCAGCCTTGAAGCCGGGTTGGACTGTCAATGTTTTTCAATGCTTTCATCTGATCTCTGCCATCATTCTAGGTAGTACGTATCCTTTGAGAAGTATTTACGAAGTATGCTCGCCGTCCAGCGCTTATATCGGGCCAACCAGGATATCTGGATGTTACCAAGTTTACCTGCTCTTACGGTTCCCTAGCAAGGGCACGTCATCTTATACCTCGTCCTGCTTCTCATGTTTCCTTATATTCCTCAACAACACAATCCACGTCACCTCCTGTCATACGTCTCTCGTATCTCCCAGCAATTCAATCGGCCGTGAAATCGAGCGAGCGGCCGAGCGCTCGAAACAACTCCTAAACAACTATTTACATGGAGTCGTTCTCGCGCCTCTCGGCGTCCGACATTGCGGCCGCAAGCGCGGGCGGCGCGGACGCGGCCGCGTGGCCCTCGGGGGCGGGCGCCCCGGGCGGAATGCTCCCCTGGCGCTGGAGCCGTTCCTGGCGCATGCGCACCACGTAAACGGAACCGGCGCCCAGGAGAAGCAGGAAGCCGACCGGAACGAGGAGGCCGATCGCGACTTTGGAGCCCACGTTCAAGCCGGCCTGCGGGATATGCGGGAGCGGAACTTGTGGCTCTTATTTGTAGGAAGACAATTGAGAAATTGGTCCAATACAAAGAAACCTCTCAAAGACGGCTTGTCGACAGGTTAGTCAAATCGAAGACTGATTAGTCATAGGGAGCTTTGGAAGCAGGAGAACAATACATTTTCAGCAAACCGTCTCCCTGGGTTTCGAATCTCACTCGAGAACTCAAACTCTTTAGAGGCGGCTTCTCAATGTTAGCTCGATTATTTTTAGGGAACTTTGCAAAAGGTTGTAATCAGCAGCGAACGCTCTACGGGTCTCTTTCATTACTTGAGCACACTAATTCAAAGCGGGCGGTTCGAACGCTCAGAACGTGACACGTGGTGCCTCACCGTGCTCGCGGAGCCCGCCTCGCAGAGGCACGTGGCGGGGTCGAAGGTGGTCCCCGACGCGCAGACCATTTGGTCGTTGGAGCACGCGATGCACTGGTCGGCGGAAATTGCGCCTGGCGTCGCCGTCGTGCTGCGGTCGTACGGGCAGCTGGTGCACGGGAGGGTGCTGACGTCACCCCGATACGAGCCCAGGGGGCAGGCTGCGCAACGCAGAGAGTAGGCTTCGTCAGCCACCGGGAATGGATTTACCGGCTATCCTCACTTAAGGTACTTAAAAGTCCAGACTTTCTTCTGTGTATATTTTATTTGCGGTCGTAAGGGCAGCGGGTGCACGGGAAGTTGCTGACTTTACACCGGTAGGAACCCAGGGGCAAGCTGCGCGGAAAAAGAGTGCGCTAAGCCAGTACACGGGGTTCAAACTTGCCACTACTTCTCGAAAGGGGACTGGCAAACTTGTGATCGCCTCTGATCTCAGTTCGTTTCGTGTTTAGACTGCAGCTGGTCTGTAGAGCGGTGCTTAGAGAAGCTGACGGTATCATGAGAGGGTGCTGACGTTAATCCGATAGATTCACGGGGGGCAGGCTGCGCGGGAAAGAGCTCAAGCTTCTTATCCTTCGAGAAGCAGTGGGCTCGCCCCGCTTTCCGGAAATCAGCATGGACAACAAAGTTGTGGCATTGAGCGTTATAAGGATAATTGAAGGCTACAGCAGTTTCTGCACGCGGGTTTTGAAGAATGGGTCATGTGGATTCCGTTTAATGGAGGATTCCCTTCCCGCTGAATGGAGCTCGTAACCCCAAATTGGTTGCCAAGGTCGGAGGCCTTTTGTTACGGGCAAAAATCTCGTTTGCTCAGCGTGGAGCGGGATTGAGGGACTGAGTATCGAGTGGACTCGTGTTTTTCGTAGGCACCGCTTGTTTCGTAGACCGCCGCGAATTCACCGTTCGGCCAAATACATTGCTCGAGATCTTTGAATTGGACATTTCAGTTCCTCTGCTCAACTTGAATTGTCGGCAAGAAGGAACCTTGACTGAGGGAACGTCAAGAAGAGGTGACAGCCATGTATTCGAAAGCAAAGAAGAGGATAAAGAGAAAGACCGCCCGGGAAAAAGATTACCCGAGCACTTGATGCCTGCGGATCCATTTGGGCGTACTTCGTCAGACACAGGAAACGCCCTCCCTATTCTTAGGTGTCAGCGAGAAGGCCAGCTTGATCAAAGAGCGCTAAGTAAAGGTGAAACCCATGTATTAAAAAGAAAGAAAAGAGTAGAGCGCCAAGCACAGGTGGCCCCCATGTATCAAAAAGCAAGAAAAGAGTAGAAAGCGAAAGACCGCCCGGGAAAAGCTCACCCGAGCACTTAATGCCCACGGATCCCGCATGGTACCACGCCCCGGCCGTTGTGAAGCCTGCGGAGCACTGGCAGAAGCCGTCGACGCACGCCGCGTTGAAGCCACAGTCCGCCGCCACCGAGCAGTCTGCGGAACGGCAAAACGGAACGGTTGCGGAATGGCGGACAGGACTGCATTCTCTGACGGTGTGTCGTCGTTTGGACAGCGGAGGCTCTCTTTGTGGGTTGCCAAGCAGGCGCTTTGTCGAAAACCGCCTTAAGGATAAGCGAGGCTTGGCAGTAAAGCGAGTACTTGAAGCAATTTTATTCTTTCGAAACAGCGAAGAACACTCCCCGCAACGATCTGATTCTCTGTACCGTCAAGCACCCGTATTGACATTTTGAATTGTCCAATATTGACTCGTCATTCTGAGGCTTTTTCAGCGAAGTTAAACATGGGAGATCGAGAGCAAGTGGTATGATCGTCAAAGACGATGGCGTAGAACGGTAGACGGAACGTCCGTGAGAGAACGAAATTCATGCTCCCACTCCCAAGTCACGGCCCTTGAAAGACACCGTCGGGAATTGAAGAGAGCACATGAAAGAAATGACGTGGCTCTGACTGGTTTCACGGGCGAGCATCGTTGAATTGCGGGCTTCGGATAAAAAAGTGGGCATTGAGGCGCAATGACAACTCAGACCGTTACTTTTTCCAAAAGGTACGAGACGTCTGTCGTGTGACCAGACGCGGGCAAACCTCGAGAAACATTTCTTATACAATCCTCACAGAAGTGCAGAACCGTTCAATCCGTCAGCAAAACTCTTTCAAATACCGAGACATCGAGGATCAAAGAGAAAAGCACTGCTTACATTGAGGGCCGTTGCTGACCGTCCCGTTCACCAGGTCCCCATTTCCGTCATACACCAAAAAGTACCCGTTCGCCGTGTCGGGCCGCTCGCACTGGCTCCCCGACCAGCCAGTGCCGCACTGACACGTGGCGTTCCCACCGACAATCTGACACGTGCCCTGGCCCCCCGAGCAGTACCCGGGGCAACCCGCGCACTCCCCGTTGACACTAACGAAACCGGTCGCACACTGCTGGCAGTCTGCGCCGGTGTGGCCGAGCGCGCATTGCGAGCAGTCGATGCCGGTCCAACCGGGCGCGCACGAGCAGGCGGGGCTGGTGCCCACGGGATCGTTGAAGAGGCACGTGCCGTGGCCGCCGCACTCGGCGCGCGACGTGGAGTTGTAACCTGGCGGGGACGAGGATTTTGTTAGTGTCATTTGGAGAAGGAAGCTTTGAAACGTTGGAGTTTTCTGAAGTGTCATTGCGAAGTCTCCTTTTGAAAGCTGTCGCTTTGGTACACAACCGCCGAACTCAGCACGCGACGTGGAGTTGTAGCCTGGAGAGGAGAGGCGTTGAAAGATTTCAAATTCTCCGCCGTAAGAATGCAAAGTCTTCGCAAAGAATCGTCGCTATTAACGGGCTGTTGTTGATGCACTCGGCGCGCGACGTGGAGTTGTAGCCTGAGGAGGGGAGAGGATATTGTGAGTTAAAATGTGGAAGAGGAGGCGTTGGAAGGGTGAAAGCTTCGCATTGCGTGTGCGAAGTGTCTTTTTAAAAGCTGTCGCTATGGTGCTTTGGCCGCTGCACTTGGCGCGCGACGTCGAGTTGTAGCCTGAGGAGGGGGATGTCAGGGATTGAGGGAGGAAAAAGCTTCGGAAAGCTCAAGTCTTTTGGAGTATGGTTGCGAAGCTCGTTTTTGATGTGGTCGCCATGCACGTGCCGTGGCCGCCGCACTCGGCGCGCGACATGGAGTTGTAGCCTGGGGTCAGGGTCGAGGTCAGTATGGTCTGTTAAGGGGTTGAAGTTTGAGGTATGCTGAGGGGGGGGGTCTGAAACCTCTTTTCGGTGCAATCAGCTTCCAGGGGTGAATCAGGAAGTGGGTCCAGCTAGGTGTCATGTATTGGCCGTCGGCTGACATGATTGATCTAGGCTTCGCTTCGCAAACCTTTCGAGGAAGGCAACCTAAGGGCTTGTTCAAAGCCAGAGAATAAGAGAAGACTCACTACTCCGTACAAAGTCCTCCCCCCCGAAAACTCGTTTTGCCGGGCAAGGTCAGTCCTTCATGAAGCTCGAGTTACTCTGAGAGGTGTTTCTTCGCAAGCTTTCGGTGTAGGTAACGGACTAATATTCTCAGCCAATCCGGTCTCAGCGGTTTTACTCAGCAGCAGCTCGACTCGTCATCAAGAACAAGATATCAGCCCACCAGCGTCACTGATCTCCTGTCCGTGTCCTGACGCACGTCCCGTCCACCTGCAGCTTCTACTACGTCCAGATTTTCCATCAAACGCTTCCCTGTATTTTGCCTTTCAGAACTAGAGGCTGGGGTTTTTCCTCACCGGGGCACTGCTGGCAGAGCGTCCCAGCTGCGGTGGTCACCCCGTGGTACGACTGGGGACACATGCAGAACGCCTCAGAAGTGGTCGGGTTGACCTGGCAGCTCCCCAGGGAGACGCACGCTGGGGAGGGAAGAATGACGGTAGTGTCAAGGTAACATAAGGCACGACAAAGCAACCAACTTTACGCATCGTTTTGTGGGAGATTGCTTCTATTGAGCGCTTCGTGAAGAAGGGATGTTAGCAGGGTTGACAGAGGGGAAGGAGAGGAGGGGAACGGGCTATTCGAAGATCCGCAAGTTTGGTACTTGGATTGTGCACCCGAATTCTTACACACAGTGGGATGCTTGCCAGCCGGCAGCTGAGATAGAGGAAGAGAGGGAATAAGGAAGGAAAGCAGTCAATCTGGTGTGAAGCCAAAATGAAACCTCTTTGTATTTGGAGCTTGGCTTCCCCCCCAAAATACGCTCCAATAATCTGAACCTTCGGAGCAATGGCCAGCCAATGCTCAAGAACGTTTCGGGCCCAGCTCAAGAAGAGAGTAACGGCTCAACCATTGCATACCGTTCCTTGCTACGTTGTTACAAGCTCATTGAATCACGAAACAACGGAGCCCGTGTCAATGCCATTGACAGCCTCTCAGCTCGAGGTGATACAAGGGGGTTGTCTATTGATGCAGCCTTTGATCGAATGAACTCTCAACACCTCAGTTTCTGTGCATCCTTGTCAGTCTCCGCAAACCAGCAACACAAAGTGACCACTTTAGCGGTGCAAGACCTCTCAATGTCCAAAGTCGTAAGAGAGGTGACCCGAGGCTGCTCACGGCATTTTGAGCAGACGAGCGGGGAGGCGCTGGTCCGCACGTAGCCCTCCTTGCATGTGGTGCAGACGCCCTTGCTGTTGGGCTCTTGGCCCTCTCCACATGTGTCCACTGCACAGCAGAAATCTATGCTCAGGACGTTTTCCTATTTCGTAGATGCTGAAGTTTCTTGTTCCAGCACACCTGCATGTCTAGCCTGCTTCCTGCTAAACCTCCACCCGACCTTTGCTGTCTCCTTCAGGTGCGCGTATGAAAAGTTTCTGGATGGGAGGACAGCGTTGCATGCATTGTTGCACGCTGAGTCAGAAGAACGGGTTTGGTGCATTACAACTGAGGCATTAGAGGAGAACACAGCAGTAGCGTGCAACCCCAATGGGCTCCAGGCACCCTACTATGAAGGAACCTGGAATCAAGTCACTCCCCTGCGACCAGGCTGTCATTTATTAGCATGACAGATGCCTCCTGAAGTCACTGCCTGACTCATAGCCATGTCCAAGGCTTTGATTGCCACTACCCTTGCATCTCGTTGGGCAAAGTAACGTCGCCTTGATCAGAACAGTGAGGCAGCTTTATGTCCTCCCTATCGAAGATGCAATTACAAATGGCAACACCGCACAAGACGGGCAGTGGACGAGATCGATGTTTGAATTCAAACGAAAGAGGGTGTTACCCAATCTCAACGTATCATTATAGACTCTATCAGACAATACTCAATGCCGTTGGAATCATAAAGATGTGGAGTGTAGAGTTCAGCATGTGCTGGGTCAGACGCGGACGTTTCTCTTCTGGAATGCAGGAACGAGGGCTTACACAGATGCCTGTGCTGCGAGGACGCCACGAAGCCCACTGAAGCCAGCAGCAGCAGCAGGGAAAACCTTAAAGCAGCCATTGATGGCTGCAATCGTCCCACCGCAGAATGCTTGAAAGATTAAACTCTGTCTACCTGTACTGAAGGAATGCTGGTCGATCTTCGTCAGGATTGCTATCTCTCCTCCTCTAGACTCTGGGTCACACTGCAGATCTGCGTGAGAATTGAAGTGTCGGAAGACAGTCAGGCACATGGGCATGGATGCACTTGCTAGAACACACTATCAAAGCTTGCCTGATCTGTATTTGCCATTTTTCATCACTCAGCGCGCCGAAGACAGATTTTGGGGTTGCGGGGAGCACCATTGTAGACGGCGACCATAAGTTTCAAAAGGCGCGGCGCTGGACCGAAGAGCCGAGTTGGGCAGTCGCCGGCACTCGGCCTGAGCGAGGTAATCATTACAACTCGTCATACCAGACTCATGTGCCTCTAGGCTCTTTTGACGGCGTGAAGGTCGGAAATAAGGCCACTTATTTACCATAAGGGGCGACGATCTTGATGTAGAGACTCCGCTCTTACTGAGTCCATAATTCCCATTTCCCATTTTGATTTTAGTACTAAGAATTCTACAGGCGCACGTATTGTCCCACTCCAATCGTAATATTGCAACTAGCTCAGACCCATACGACTCACAAAGATTACATAGCCCCTCGGCCTAGGCCCTAATATCTCCCAATAAGCTGAGAGGAAAGTTCAGTATTACCCAGGTAGGTGTCAGGTGATCATATGCCAGGCCAGTAGGTGTACA